AGTTTCCTCCGACAGAGGCTCCGCTGCAGACGCTTCACATGGACGTGTGGGGCCCAGCCCGCGTCCGTGGGCAGGGTCAGGAGCGCTACTTCCTGCTGGTGGTTGACGACTACTCGCGTTACACCGCAGTCTTCCCCTTGCGCAGCAAGGGTGACGTCACTGAGGTGTTGATCGCCTGGATCCGCGCGGCTCGTCTCCAGCTCCAGGAGAGTTTCGGCTCCGACTTTCCTGTTCGGCGTCTGCACTCCGACCGAGGCGGAGAGTTCTCCTCTGACCTTCTGCAGACCTTCTGTCGCACACGAGGCATCCGCCAGACCTTCACGCTTCCGGACTCTCCGCAGCAGAATGGGATTGCTGAGCGCCGCATCGGCATGGTCATGGACGTCGCTCGTACGTCCATGATCCATGCGGCTGCTCCCCATTTTCTGTGGCCGTTTGCGGTTCGGTACGCGGCGCATCAGCTCAACCTTCACCCCCGGGTCTCCATGCCGGAGACCTCCCCTGCTTTGCTGTGGACGGGGAAGGTTGGTGATGCGTCGCGTTTTCGGGTCTGGGGATCTAGGGCGTTTGTCCGCGACTTGTCTGCGGACAAGCTGTCCTCTCGTGCTGTTCCCTGCGTCTTCCTTGGCTTTCCCCCTGACGCGCCAGGCTGGCAGTTCTACCACCCCACCTCGCGCCGTGTCTTCGCGTCCCAGGACGTCACCTTTGACGAGTCGGTTCCCTACTACCGTCTCTTCCCCTACCGCACTGCGTCCCTCCCTCCCCCGCCGCTCTTCCTTACACCAGGCCCCCCTCCGGTAGACCCCCTCCCCCCTCAGGGTCCTGCTCCCTCAGGTGTGTCCCAGGTAGATGCAGTTGAGCCAGTCGAGGTAGCTGTTGACTCTGGTACTGCTGGTGGTGCTGAGCCTGGGGGTGCTGGGTCTGGGGGTGCTGCGACTGGGGGTGCTGGGTCTGGGGGTGCTGCGACTGGGGGTGCTGAGCCTGGGGGTGCTGAGCCTGGGGGTGCTGAGCCTGGGGGTACTGCGCCTGGGGGTGCTGCGCCTGGGGGTGCTGCGCCTGGGGGTGCTGAGTCTCGGATTGCGGAGCCTGGGAGTGCTGGACCTGCTCGTCCGGCGTCTGGTGGTGCTGAGCCTGGCGGTTCCTCCGGTGCTTCGTCCCGGCGGGAGCTGCTCTCTCCACAGGAGCTGCGTGAGTGGTTCGCCCGGCGCTGGCGACGTGCTGCTGGAGCTGGTGGTGCTGCAGGAGCTGGGGGTTCTACTGCTGCTGAGAGTGCTGGTGCCGAGGGTCCCAGAGGTGCTCGTACCGAGTGTACTGGAGCTGCTGACCCTACGAGTGCTCCTCCTGCTGGAGCTGGTGGTGCTGCTGGTGTTGCTGGCGCTGGAGCTGCTGGTGCTGCTGGAGCTGCTGGTGCTGCTGGTGCTGCTGGTGCTGCTGGTGCTGCTGGTGCTACTGGCGTTGGTGCTGCTGGAGCTCCTGGAGCTGGAGCTGCTGCGTCTTCGGGTGGTCCGGCTGGAGCTGGAGCTACTGGGGGTGTTGGCGCTGGGGGTGCTCCTGGCGCTGGTGCTGCTGGGGGTGCTGGAGTTGGAGCTGCTGGAGTTGCGGGTCTTCCTGGTGCTGGTGCTCCCGCTGGGGGCGCTGGTGCTGTTCCTGCTGGCACTGGTGGAGCTGCGCGGCCGCGGCCGTACTTCGTTCCGCTCCTTGAGCAGGTTCTTGGTCTTCCGTCCTCTCTTGGTCCTGCTCCTGCCTTAGAGTGTCCGCCTCCTGTCCAGTCTGAGTCACAGTTACAGCCACCTTCCCCGCTTCCTTCTCCTTCTCCCTACACTGGTCCTACTGGAGGTCTTGCTGAGCGTCGTGAGCCTGCGTCTCGCCCTGCGTCGCCTGTCCGTGCTGCTCGCACTAGTGGTCGTGGTTCGCGTCAGCGTCCTCCCCCTGTCCCCGGCACGCACCGGATGTCTCTGCGTCCTTCCACTGCTCCGCTGCGTGCCCCTTTGCCCTCTCCTCCAGCGTCCTCTCTTCCTGAGCTTCCTGACCCGGAGTCGGACTCCCTTCGTGCTGCGCGTCCTACTGTCACGCGTCTCCTTGCTACTGTCGTCACTGACCCTTCCTTTGAGTCTACTGCTGCGTCTGCCCTAGTTGCTGAGCTTGTCGACTTCGCTGCTCGCTGTCGCCTAGACTACGCTACCAGTCTCGTCGCTGAGTCTGAGTCTGTCTGTCCTCCGTCCGTCGGGGGTGAGTGTGCTCTTGGCACGGACGTCCTAGAGGACAGGCAGGAGGAGTTCCAGTGCTTGGCTGCTGTTTCACCTCATCTCGTGTCCATGCTGCTTGCCCCTGAGGGAGACCCGGATGCACTTGACATCCCGACTCCGCGCTCTTACGCGGAGGCGATAGAGGGTCCCTACTCCTCTCAGTGGCAGACAGCCATGGACGCAGAGATGGCTTCCTGGAAGTCCACAGGCACCTACGTTGACGAGGTTCCCCCGCCTGGGGCGAACATCGTCAGTGGCGTGTGGATTTTCAGGGTGAAGCGGCCGCCGGGTTCTCCGCCTGTCTTCAAGGCGCGTTACGTGGCTCGTGGTTTCAGTCAGCGGCAGGGAGTTGACTACTTTCAGACTTTCTCCCCCACCCCGAAGATGACCACTCTTCGGGTACTGCTGCACATAGCTGCTCACCGAGACTACGAGCTGCACTCTCTTGACTTCAGCACTGCTTTCTTGCAGGGCAGCCTTCACGAGGAGATCTGGCTGCGCCGCCCACCTGGCTTCACTGGGACGTTTCCTCCTGGCACCCAGTGGAGCCTCCGGCGGCCAGTCTACGGCCTCCGCCAGGCGCCTCGTGAGTGGCACGACACACTGAGGACTACACTTGCGGCCCTTGGGTTTGCTCCTTCTACTGCCGACCCGTCGCTGTTTCTGCGCACCGACACTTCTTTGCCGCCGTTCTACATCCTCGTGTACGTCGACGACTTGGTCTTTGCTACAGCTGACACTGCTGGACTTGCCTACGTGAAGTCCGAGCTGCAGAAGAGACACACGTGCACAGACCTGGGTGAACTGCGCAGCTACCTTGGCTTGCAGATCACCAGGGACAGAGCACAGCGCACCATTACCCTGACTCAGTCACATATGGTGCAGCAGGTCCTTCAGCGCTTCGGCTTCACGTACTCCTCGCCTCAGGCCACTCCTCTGCCTACGCGCCACTCGCTCTCAGCTCTGCCTTCGGATGAGTCCGTAGAGTCGAGTGGCCCGTACCCAGAGCTTGTCGGCTGCCTCATGTACCTGATGACCTGCACTCGACCTGACCTTGCATACCCTCTTAGCATTCTGGCACGCTTTGTTGCTCCTGGGAGACACAGACCAGAGCACATGGCTGCAGCGAAGAGGGTGTTGCGCTACTTGTGCAGTACGTCGGGCATGGGGCTTGTGCTTGGAGGGCATAGTTCAGTGGTCCTCACTGGTCACGCAGACGCTTCTTGGGCTGACGACCAGGCTACGCAGCGGTCGTCACAGGGTTACACCTTCAGCCTTGGTTCCGGCTCTGTTTCTTGGCGGTCTACCCGCTCGTCTTCTGTTCTCGGCTCCAGTTGTGAGGCTGAGATCTACGCAGGGGCCATGGCTGCACAGGAGCTACGCTGGCTCACCTACCTGCTGACTGACCTGGGAGAGCCGCCTCGTTCTCCTCCAGTGCTGTACGTAGACAACAAGGCCATGCTGGCCTTGTGTCATGAGCACAGACTGGAGCACAGAACGAAGCACATCGTTCTCCGCTACTTTCTTGCTCGTGAGCTGCAGCAGCGTGGTCAGCTGCGCCTTGCTTACGTGGCCTCTGAGGCCAACACTGCTGATATCTTCACTAAAACACTCACGCCTTGTGATTATCAGCGCTTCTGCACTCTGTTAGGTCTTGTACCTACCTTGCCTCACTTGCTTACTTCTTGACCTTGCTTGTACTGTTACATATATATACCTGCCTGTTTAGCTTTATATATATGTGACCTTGCATGTGAACTGGCCTTGTGGCCTTGAACTTGTGCTCAGACTGTGTGGTGACGTTGTGATCCACCCTGAGCTTGCTTTGCCTTGCTTTGCTTGACTGGTCTTGTGACCCCTTGTTCTCCCCCACTTTGCCTATGGGGGTGTGTCAAACTTTTAGACTATAGTCTGTGTAGGCTGTAGTGGGGTAGCTCATATGGGGTACAACATTCTAGGGTTTGGTACTTGTACTCCTCATGCTGCTCAATGCATTCATTCTCGTTCCAATTGTCACAACTAGTTGTTAGAAAATGGTGTGAGAAGAAGTGTTTAGGTAAAAGCGCATGTGCAAAGGGGGCGATGGAGTTAGCAATTTGTCTTTCCCCCATGCTCATATGGAATCCGAAACTTCACTCACAAATGTGGAAATACGGAGTATACAAACATTTCTACCAATATGGTAACTAGATCAATTTTTCTGGCTGGATGGATTGGCTAATGCAGTCCCAGTCTGCATTTTCAATTTGTACTCCCATTCTACATCTAGGACTATGCATGAATGCCAGAGGAAATACTCGGGCTCTTTTGGCCTGTAAGCGAACCGTATCATAACAAAGACAACGGCTGTTTTCCAACAGCGCATTTTGCTCGTGATGCGTAGCCCTTCCCCTCCAAGCCGATCTTCGCCTGGTCGGGCCACAACAGTGACTCCTCGAACCCTTTATTCTCGCCTATCAGTTGAAAACTATGGCGTCTGCCATTTCTCCTTGCCTTCTCTCAGGCCGATCCCTATTGCCAGCGCATCGTGTTCGCTATGGCGCTCCGCTCTCGATACCTAGAGATTTCCGTTTCACGGAGCAACGCAGGTTTGCAGACTTGTCCGTGCACGCGAAAAAGAAGAAGGCAAAAGCTCCGGTAGAAGAGCCAGTGGTAGAAGAGGAGGTAGTTGAAGAGGAAATTATTGAGGAAGAAGAGGAACCTTCTTGGGTGTCTGAGAAGGTTACTGATGTCCAGCAGACCGTTCAGTCAGTAATGCAGGCGGTCCCCGGTCCACGTGTAGGCGAGTCAAATATGCCATGGCTCATCGCCGTCCCGCTAGGCTACATGGCTCTGACGTTCGTTTTGGCGGTGTATAAAACCGTGAAAATGCGAAGCACTCCCAAGGCGAAACGCAGACGACAGGTGCGATATGCTGAACCAATTTCCGGCCAGGGTGGTCGTGTTTAGTCCCGTATGGGCTTTAAGGAATACACGCGCTCCGTGAGTTCCTCACTTTCCGTCGTGTACGCATTCGGCAGATCGGGAAGAATGCTGGCCTCAATCAGAGCATTGACGAGTTTTTGCCTGGCAATAAGGACGCTCTGACCTCCAAGGAGCTCAAGGCGCTCGAGAAAAAGGTACCTCCAATCCACATCATTCAGGTCAGCAATCGTTCTTTTGGTTTGTAAGGACTTCTCCTGACGTTCTTCCTTTTTCTTCAGTTCAATTTCAGCTCCGATGAGATTCTTCGCAAGTACATTCGCTACGTGATCAACGAAAAGCCCTTTACCCCGGAGACGGTTTCCGGCCTGATTCACCTTCGGAAAGTGTCTGGTCTTGATGATATTGGGATTGCCGAGGTGCTCAACGAGATCTCTCGGAGAATCGTCAAAGCCAAAGGTGAAGGCCGTATTTTTGTCCCCTTTTCTATCATAATGTGTTAGTGAAATGTTCTCAGATTTTCCTCCCCCCCGCCGTTACGTCAACCTCTGATGCAGGTCCTGTTGTGATGGATACAACTGGTTTCACTGAGAAGGGAGTGCAGAGAAAGGCAGCGGTACAGGGTATTTTCACAAAGCTCCTCTACTTGTCTGAGGTACGTAGTGTTCTTGTCGTGAATTATGGATGAAATTGTGCTGGCTGGCATCACGTTACAGGAATTAACATTTGTGTGTTATTGATGCAGCTGGATGATTTCTGTGGGCCATCAGGCCGTGAGAAGCTTGAAATCAAAAGCATATTTGGAGTTACAGAGTGAGTGTTGTTGGCCCACCTCTTTTTGTTTTCCATTCATCTTCTGTTGTTGGCTGCCACTAACGTTTCTTTGTTCCTGCAGCGAGGATGCTGCATCAATCAAGATTGTAAGTTTGTCTTCATCCGCTGACATGGATACGCTGGACAAATCATTAAATGCTGGAGACTCATCTGACTCTGAAGCAGATGAATGAACCATGGCCCTTGTGACTGCACGCTTACAATGTAGTGCTAGTGATTTGTGAAGCCCTCTCTAGGCCTGTGTTTGCAGATTCCGTTGCCACTCAAATCGTAGGTTACAAAATGTTAGCACTTACAGTAGGCTGGCTGCTGATGCACAGCTTACATTGGCAACTTTATTCCGAAAGGTTGAGGCCATTTTTGAGCCAGGTAAGTACTGATACCAATACCCTTCATTCTAAGGGCATAGGTTAGGACCTCTTGGAACCATTAGTGTGGCTGTTTTTGTTTGAAGCATGGCGAAATATCGCAATTACTACGGTAAGTACAGTACACCGAATCACCCATACCATGATATTCAGCAAATGAGTGTTGAGCCATGCAATAGTATATCTTTCCATCTCTAGAGTGTACCGTTTTATCACGGGATTTTGTTTTCCCTTCGAGAGATGTGATTGTTTATAACAACACATCATGTCGCTACAGCGAAGACGCGATGTTAACCGCGAGTTGGTGCAGCCATCGACGGCTGTCCGTTATCGCGTTCGATCCGTGTGCCAACCAAAGCAGCCGTGTAATTGGTTGTTTAAAATGTTCCCCTGCTTGTAACTCAACCATCGTTCTGAGAGGTGAGACCTGGGGAGCTTTATAAATCTAGTCACCCCCAAAGACTACTCAAGTCTTTCAGACGTTGCTCAACGACGTTTTACTCGCAGTCTACGATCCTCTTGTCTTCCGAAGGTCGCGTATCAACGTAGCAAGTAGCAGTGCGAAGCCGAATCTGCTTTGTTTCCCAATCCAAGAGATAGTGCTAGCTTCAGTTACTATGGCTCCGAAGGTCGAGGGAGAGCAGAAGGCAGCCAAGAAGGGCCCGAAGAAGGAACACACAGCAAAGAAATCTCCAGGAGCAGGAAAGAAGCTTGCGGGGGAGAAGGCGGAGAGGAAGAAAGCCCGGAAGGCCGTGACGGAGACATACAAGATTTACATTTACAAGGTTTTGAAACAGGTAAGCTTGTCGGGTTACCTTACTTGGTCCACGATCGTTTCCCTTTAGATTTAGCACGACTGACGTCACTCGTATGCACCGTGTTTTTTTATGTACTTATGCTCCTATGCAGGTGCATCCAGACACTGGCATTTCGTCCAAGGCCATGTCCATCATGAACTCTTTCATCAACGACATTTTCGAGAAGCTGGCGACAGAGGCGTCGAAGCTGGCTCGGTATAACAAAAAACCCACTATCACGTCTCGCGAGATTCAAACAGCAGTCAGGCTTACCCTCCCTGGTGAATTGGCGAAGCACGCAGTGTCAGAGGGTACCAAGGCCGTCACGAAGTTCACCAGCGCATGATCTCTGTGGTTTACTCTTGATGCTGTGAAGTCACAGCCAAATTTTTTTTGTTTTCTTTTCTTATTGGCTCTTGTGGCCTTTGTATAGTTATTAACCATGTTAATTGTTCTAGATCTCTGCTCTGAAAGGTGCCGGTTACTTCAATCTCCACTCTCGATAGTTGCCGATTGGTCCTAGTGGTCTATTGAGCATATCTGCGGTAGGCATAGTAGTGAGCTGATCCTGCGTGAAGGGGACTGCTAGGGTTGGCAGAACACGCCTCCACGGGGGTGGGTTCGATCCCAGGACCTCATCTATCGGAAGTGCCTCTTTCTACTGACTAGGCCACTTCTGGATGATCCTTTGAATCTATCAGCAGATGAAGCCGGTGGTGGCCAGAGCGAAATTGTGATAAATGAAGGTTTACTGTACATGAGGCGGGACTTTTGAGACTTGACTGTAACGAACACAGTACAGTACTATCAAATTCCGAAGAATCATAGACAGGTGGATCCGTCTTCATGGTGGTTGTTCCAACCTAAGGACGCTGCTTGTTCTCCCTTCTAGCAGCGCTGCTTGTTTTCCAGGAGTTAGGCCTAGAGAGCTCACCGCCATTGTTAATTGTCCAGATTTTGACCTAGATGTTTGGCCTAGGTACCGTCAGCGAGACCTTTTCTGTTAAAGGGTTTATTCATCTGTCAACAGATTCCGTCAGCATGGCTTGTCGTTCATCAGCTGACCTTACCGCCAGCCCTTGCGTGAAGAAGGATCGATAGAAAGAAATTTGACTGATAGAACACTGCATCATCGATATAATGCCTCTGAAACAATAGAACGAAACCAGGGTCCGCGTCTATCTTTTCCGACTCTGCCACGTGTCACGACACTATGTTTACGCCGAACGACATTCCCCCGTCCCTCGAATCAGTCCCAACCTTCCGCCCTCCCCCGGCGGAAGAGCCCGCGCAGAGCGCAAGCGCTTACGACCAAGCTCCGCCGTCGCTCGAATCAGTCCCGACCTTCCGCCCGCCTCCCGCCGATGGCGCAGCCTCGCAGGGGCTCGGCATGCCGCCAGGGAGACCAAATTTGGCAGCAGATGGAAGGGCTTCAAATCTGAATCTTTCCATATCGCTCTCAACCAATGCGAGAGAGACTCAAGGTGGAGGTGCTGATCTTAACGGGGATGACTATAACGAGGATGGTGACGGGGATGGGGAGTTGTCCCCCGCCACTCCCACTTTCACCTCGTCAGGCGTGAAAACGATCAGGCCTGCTAGAAGCCCCGGCCACGTGGCACAATCCGGACCATCCGCTCCGCCCAACCACGCTTCCGCTCCCCTCAGCCATGCACTCCCCCCCGAGCGCCCTCCGCGCAGCTCCTCCCGCTGCCCACGCGACTCCTCCGCGCTCACCGTCAGCTCCCCGTATCCCAGCAGCTCAGCGCGCACCCCGCGCGACCTCTCCGCGCTAACCGCGCTGCTGGAGCCTCCGCGGGAGATGCGCCACAGCGGCAGCTTCCGCAGCAGCAGCGCGAGCGGACCGGGCGCAACCCCCAGGGGGATGCGGAGCGGAAGCTTCCGCGCAAGCACTCTCCGCAGCAACAGCAGTAGCGGGGGGGGCGGCGCTGCTGGCGGCGGTACGGGCGGCGGGGGAGTAGGGTTAGGGGCGGGGAATATGGGTGGTAGGTCTTTCAGAAAAGCTCTGTCTTCGAGTGCGAAAATGCTGGACGCTGTTTCTGCTGTTGGCGAAGGCGTTGGCGAAGGTGGTGCGTATGGTAACCCTAGAGCTACCAGACCAGCTACTTCGTACAGCAAATCCCCCTCGCGGCGAAGGCTTGCCAGCTCCCACGCGTCCCGGTCTAGACGAAACCTGCTACCGCCAGCACCACCAACAGGAGCAGGGGCAGCAGCAGGAGCAGGAGCGGGAGCGGGAGCAGGAGGATCAGCAGGAGCAGATGAAGCTGGTATGGAAAACGGCACTGAGATGGCTGAGAGTGTTTTTCCCGAGGCTGACTTGCTAGTTCTAGACGATCTAGAAGGTTTAGAAGAGGAGGGGGAGGAAGAGGAGGCGGAGGGAGAGGAGGGAGAGGAGGGAGAGGAGGGAGAGGAGGAAGCAGTGGGTGGTGAGGATGAGAGGGCGTACATAGAGGGTAGCTACGAAGCTCAAGCTGCGGCTGCGGCTGCTGCAGTGGCTGCAGCATCGGCTGCGCTCGCTGCAAAATCTCCCCGGTTTTCAAAGGCCACTCCTCGCTCTTTCAACTCGCATCGCTCCTTCAAACCCTCTCACAACCTCAAGTCTCCACGTGCTCTGCGCTCCCCTAGACTCTCTAATTCATCCTCTTTTTCCCACTCTCCTCCCCGCTCCTCTTCCCTCCACTCCTCTTCCCTCCACTCCTCTTCCCTCCACTCCTCCCCTCTCCACCCATCCTCCTCGTTACGTTCCTCCACTCCCCGAGGCTACCCTGCCCGCACCCCAAGGTCTTTCCGAACCTCCGCCAGCTCCAGGTTCGGGCGAACCGAACCTGATGGAGGTTTTGGGGAAGCAGATGGTGCTGACGACGGCAGCACAGGTCCTGCTGACGACATAGACGATTTTGTTCCTGAATCTCCCTCCTCCCCTCGTTCTTCCTCCTATTCCTCTTCCTCCCACCACACGCGTCCAAGGTCTCCCTTTAAAAGTGACTCCAGCCGTGGTGACAGTAAGGGATTAGCCTCACGTGACTATAACGAGGGGAATGGAGGCCAGGAGACGGAGCAGGATAGGGAATCGGAGGAAAGCTTCCCAGGTGCTCCGTCGTTTCTGCCCGAAAATTTGGGGCTGGAGAGGCCGGTCAGCCCGCTGAGAAGTCCATCTGCCCGGATGAAAGTTGGGGAGGGGGTAACGGCAGGGATTTTGAACCGCCTTATGCTGGCTGATTCGTTGGGCGCAAGTGAGGAAAAGGTAGGAGCAAAGGCAGGAGCAACGGCAGAAGGAGAGGCTGACGCAGAAGAGGCAGGGAAAACGGAAGGGGCAGTGGTGGAGGAAAGAAAAGGAGGAGGAGTGGAAGCAGGGGAGAGAAGTCAGCATCCTAGTCAGGAATTTAGTGAGCCAGCAGGCGACGGCCGGGAGACAGGGTCGAGTCAAGGAGTCAAGCAGACAGGGTCAATGGATTGTCTAGCCAAGCAAGGCATATCCATCGAGATTCCAACCAGCCCCGTAGCCTTCCCTCGGGCAGCTTCCGAACCTAAGGCAGTTGTTGAAGCTGGCGCCGAAGCTGGTGCCGAAGCTGGGTACGTTCGGCTGGCCACCGAAGCTCCGCGCCGAAGCAGCTTTGATCTGGCGTCCCCTTTGGCCCAAGCCGTGCTGCCTAGGAATGTTTCCATGTTCCTGGGAGAGAGTGTGGGAGTGAGTGAGAAAGTGAGTGAGGGAGTGAGTGAGGGCGAAAGAGAGGATGGAAGCATGCAGAATGTGAGTGAAACGGAAGGTAGGAGTGAGAAAGGAGGGGATGGTGTGAGAGAAGGTGGGGGGGGAGGAGGTGATCAGGGAAAAGATTTTGGAGAAGGAAGGGACGAGAGTTGTGTTGCTGCAGATGCTGCTGCTGCTGCAACTGGCACTAATGCAGCTGATAGCCTTCCAGTAAACGGTGTTACCCATGGTATCCCACCGAAACCAAAGAGGCGAAGCGAGAAGGGTGAAGAGAAGGAGAGAGGAAAGAAGGAGAGGGAAAAGGATAGCAGCGGCGGTGGCAAGGCCGGCAACAAAACGCGTAGCAGAGCGAGCAGTAGGTCCAGCAGCAGGGGAAGTGAAATTGAGGTGGCTGTTGAGTCAGAGGCAGTTTCTAGGTCTGTATCAGAAGCCAGTTTAGCTAGTGCAAGCACTGAGACGGTAGTGGAGGCTGATGAAAGTGGGAAAGCGGGTATGGGTGCCGAGAAAGACGGGGATAAGAAGCATAAGAGCAGCGGTAGCCGGAGCAGTAGCAGGCACAAGGACGCGAGTAAAAGCAAGGGTGGCAGCAGCAGCAGTGGCAGCAAGTCTAAGAGTGAGGAGAGAGAAAAGGAACGAGTGAAGGATAAAATTGAGGATAAGGAGAAGAGACGAGGAAGAGACGGGGCCGGTGAGAAAGAGAGGGAGAGGTCAAAAAGCAAGGATAGGCATAAGGAGAAAAAGAGAGATGAAACGGCGAAGGGAGAGGGGGAGGAGGAGGGAGGGAAGGGAGGAGAGGAGAGGCGGGACGGAGGGGAAGGAGGTACTCGGAGCAGGGATGAGACGAAGAAGCATTCGTCTCGTTCCAGTAAAAGCAAGCCTGAAGGAGAGACGAGAAAGGAGCGGGAGAGAAGCAGTAAGGGAAGTAGTAAAGGGGACAGCAAGAGAAGTAGTAAAGAGAGTAGCAAGGAAAGAAGCAAGGGGAGCAGCAAGGGAAGCAGGGACAAGGAAACAAAGAGGAGCAAGGGCGGGACTCAAGAGGCGAGAAATCCAGAGGGGAATGGAAGCATAGACAGTCTTGCATCTGAGGGTGTGGGTGTGGGTGGGTCGGGGAGTCGTGGCGAGGTGGAGAGTCAGGAAGATTCTGAGAGGAGTTGTAGCATCGGGGAGGACGGCTTTCACCCTGGCTTCTGGGAAACCCTTGCTGCTGGTGGCAGCACTGCTGGTGCTGCTGCTGGTGGCAGCACTGCTGGTGCTGCTGCTGGTGCTGCTTCTGCTAGTGACAGTAGTGCTGCTGTTGATGGTGTTGCTGATGGCGCTGCGGATGGTGCGGCTGCGGATGAGGGATTCTCCACACGCATGCCACCTAAGAGTCCTAGAACCCTTTTAGGAGGTTTCGGAGGTTCAGGGTTCAACAGCCGCAGCACGGGCAATAAAGACGCGCTCTCTCGACCGAGCACCTCGTCGCGGCCCTCCACCTCCCTCTCCTCGCGTCCCGGCACGTCGTCTCGCAAGTCGGGAGCGTCGAGCTTGAATTTTGTTGAGAGTGAGTTTGACGCGATTGTGCAGGAGTTTTCCCGGTCGAAATCTACGGGCTCGAAAGGGGTTTCGGCAGGGAAAAGAGTGGGAGAAGGGAGGAAAGATGGGGGTGGGGTGGCGGGGGAGGAGGGAGAAGGAGAGGTGGGAGAGGAGGGGGAGGGAGAAGGTGGGGGAGAGGAGGAAGAGGGGGTGTATGGGAAGGAACCGGTGTTGAGAGGTGAAGGGAAGGAAGGGAAGGAGGGGAGGGGGGAGGGGAAGGGGGAGAGGAAAGCGTCAGCAGGAGGTGCGGCTGGGCGAGCGGCTACGGCAATGGCTGCCGCGTTTCGAGAAACGTCCCAAATGGCTGTTGCATCTGCAGCTGTAGCGTCAGCTGCTGTAGCATCGGCTTCGTTCGCGCCTCCCCCGTCGCCCCGCGTGCTTCTATCGAAGGTGGAGAAGCTGTGGAAAAACTCGGGGAAAAGGGCACATGGGAAAGGAGGAGGAGCAGGAGGTAGCCACTCTTCAGATGTCCTTGTGATTTCTCATGAGGGGGAGGAAGAGACTGATCCAGTGGAAATGCTGAGGCGGGTGGAAGAGGAGCAAAAGAAGAGAGGAACTGTGGGGGCGCAAGGGTGGGGGGCAATTGGGCATCTAAACGCGGATGATAGAAGGATGTTTTGGAGGCCTTCTTTGCCGCGGTTGGAGGAAGGTGAGATGGACGAGGAGACTGTTTCGGACGCTGAAAAGACGCCCAAAGACCGTAGGTCAAAATCGTCTTTAGTTTGAATAGGTGGTATATATATTCAGAATATAACACTCTTTCCAAAGTACATAAATATTCGTCAGAAATATTGTGTAATACGATTTATGGATGCACAAGCTTTTCTGCGAGTCCGCTTGTACGAGTGAAGGCAATTCACGACACGGACGTACTATACCCGTCCGTGGCGGCTCGTGCACTTTTTTTGGTTGGCCGCACTTAGCGCTTTTCCTGTGTGTCGTGGGCACGTTTCGCGGAATACGAAGAACGTTTTGTTTGGCGAAATATTACCAGCACTTCATAGCTTTCGTAAGCGACGATGATTATATATCGCCATTCTTCGCCGCTTGACTATTTCGCGTCGGCCTTCGGCCACGAAACCTTTTCAATTGGCCGCAGAACCGAACGCCGCGCCGTGCGGCCGACCTTTGACACTCGGCGGACCCGACGCTGCGCGTGTCCATCAGCACCACCAACGAGCCCCTCTCAACGCGACGCAACGCGACGTGACGTGACGCGACATGCACCCATTGTCATCCATTTCGCATTGCATTCCACTCTGGGCAGGTGATAGAGGACCTTCACGGGATGGTCTCCTCAAAACCAAACCGAACCGTCAAAATATGACAAGAATATGTCTGATTCCTAGTGAACCTCGCTTAACCTATTGTAATATACTAGACACCTCCAAGAAAAAACTTCCACTGTCATGCAAACCCACCACCATCCCCCCTGCACGTTCAGTTGTCAGACCCAATTCAAGCTTGAGTTTCACGTTGCATCCGTTCAACCCTGGGAAGTGGCAAGCTTGAGGCGCAAAATTAGTCAATACCCCCCAGCTCAGTCTGTTGTTGGTCTTGCGTTTGATGAAGCAACACTGAAGACCACCCTTTCCAAGTTTTTCGTCGAAACGCTAACACATTCAGGCTTTGTGCCTCAGTGACTCAAGTCCACTCAAAACTAACCTCACCATCATCACAACTGCAGTAAAAGCTGACAATCTTGTCGACTAGTCATTAATAACCTCTTGCTTTGGCCTCATTTCGTCACCATGAAACGTCACGTGCGGCCCGTCCTTCCAGCCCTCGCCCTCCTCGTGCCTCTCCTCCTCTCACTAACGCGTACATCCACGGCGCAACAGTATCCGCTATGTCCTTTAACGAAGCAGCCGCCGTCGCTCCCCACGGTCCCGTATCACCGCTGCATGGATGCCGCGGCTGCGTCGTGCTGTACGGATTGCAAGGAGATCCAGAACGCGCTCGCGGGGGTGTCGGCGAATGTTTCGATCATCATGCCACAGCTGCTCACGCCGCTAGGGCCCATGAACGAAGTTGACTACTCGGGGACTACGGTACGTGATGGAAATGGCTCGGTAACTAGCAGTGGGGAAGTTATTTGTTGCGGTAAAGTTGAGTTTTTTCGTTTCGATCATCGTGCCGCAGCTGCTCATGCCGCTAGGACCCATGAATGAAATCGACTACTCGGGAACTACGGTACGTAACGAGAATGGTACGGTGGGTACGTTACGGTACGGTTCGTAGTTTTATGGTTCCGCAGACGCCGCTGCTGCGTCCTGCTTCACAAATAGCAAGGGAATCCAAAACGCAGTGATGGTGTTGTCATTTTTTCCCCCCTCCTCCTTTCCTCCTCCGGCAATTGTGTTCCCCCTCCCCCTCTCCTCCCCCGGCAATTGTGGTCCCCCTCTCCCTCCTTCATTATTCCCACGACATAAAGGTTTCTGTTAACGTCGCTCAATATTTGGGCTGTACGTTTGTACTGAACCCTTTCTGTCCGCCATGTAACGCTATCCTCGTACGCTTTCTTTAAACCCGTCCTCTGCCTCTTACGCAGGCGTGCGACTATCTCTACGGTTTGGACGACTGCCAGTTTCATCTCGAGCAGCTCCTTTGCGCGTTAACCTGTAACCCCGGTACGTACGTCGTTACGTCCGTCAGTTCTGCGTTACCAAGCGAACCCACCTTCCTCCTCGTCTCTTCCCCTTTACGCACTCATTTCTATTCCCTTGAAAATACATATCCGACGACGGGCGCATTTACTCAGTCAATTACTCTCTTATCGCCGTTCGCTATGCCGCCCCACTTACCGTCACAGATTCCGGCAACTACGTGTTCGTGAAGGCCGGCAGACCCATTCTGCGCGTCTGCCCGACGTACGCGCAAGAAGTGTTTCAGTACTGCAAAGACGTCTCATGTGAGTGTATATCAGTTTGTTTGTCAGTGTTTCCTTTCGTTTTTCACTGCGCCCTTCACATGAGACTGGAAAACTATAACCGAACATTACTCGTTTCACTTCTGCTTAACTCCCCCATGCCCTTCTCAATCCCTTCCCATCTATCCTATTTCTTCCCCATCTCCCCAGTGGGCACTGTGCTGGTCGGAGCAGGCTTCCCCACGAAGGAGCTCCTGCTGGGTCGTCTTTTTACTCCTCTCGTGCAAAAGCTCGGCATTGGCAATGTCGCCTTTATCGTGTCGGAGGTGAGACTCCAGTTGTGTCCCTGTGTCAGGTGTGTTCCAGGTAAGCAGTAATGGGCACGATTTTATTCAATGCCAACCCTTCCTGAAAGCGTATCCGCGTGCATGTTTTCCTTGTATTCTCCTTCCGAGCACTTACCTTACACCCCTGCTTCCCTAATCCAAGTTGTACTTTCCGCCCCCCTCTTCCCCTCCTCTTCCCTCCCACTCCCCCTCCCCCTCCCAACCATCACACCACAACAGAGAAACTGCTACAGTGGCCCTGCCGCCCTGCCTGAGCAACCCGCCTGCTGCGATCCTCTATACGTGCCAAAGGAGACACTTTATCTTTGTGTCCTACGGCTCCGTAGACACTGAGAAATACACCCTTGCTCCTTTACTTCGCTTGGGCTTACTTCACCTCCCTCCCCACCCTGTCTCCTATTGCACCACGACAGAAAAACTGCTACAGTGGCCCTGCCGCCCTCCCGGACCAACCCGCCTGCTGCGACCCGCTATACGTCCCTAAGGAGTGCCCCTATGGCTCCGTCGACACTAAGAAGTACGCGGCCTTTATAGGCCGTTCGATGGACAGCGGCAATGCATCCAACGCTTGCCAATGGTTCCCACTCCCAGACGATCCTAACGCCGCGCCGCTGCCCGAGAATCCTCCTCTTCCGTACATTACCGGGGCGGCACACGACCCACCCCCTCCTGATGTGGGCACACCTTGGTCCTCTGAGCCTGTTCCTAAAAGCAACCCAAGTGTTATGTCTTATAAGGGGGCGGCACGTATGGGAGTCGCCGGTGTAGCAGCGCTCATGGCATGTTTGGCTGCTGCTGTTGGTGTTTTTGCTGGTTGACTAGATATTAAACTGTGGTGGCAGCTTTGTGTCATCTATACTGAACAGGCACATGTAGTTAATTAGTTGCTTAGACAAAATAGAAGTTGTGCTATACAGCCTCACGAGCAAATTTCTACTCTCGTCATGTAACTGTTCTCTGTTTGCACTTCCGTCCAATGTCTATTTTTCCTCGATTTTCCTGCGCCACAGAACCCAACGAAGCGCGCATTTCCAAATTTCTCCCTGTATGCTACTGCAGCTTTTGGGAAACGTCTCATACGTGTTATCACTTCCCAAATTCTCACTTCCCCCTTGCTTGCCATTCCTCAGTTCAAAACAATATGTTCAGGAAGGCGTTTTGTGAGAACGGAAACACCACAAATAATGAACTCAATAATTGACAACATTCACGAACAGCTCCAACATAGAATGCAAAGTGGGGAGTGTGGATGCTGTGTTTATTGAACCATCTGCTTGCGTGCAGAATGGGCGTTGCTCCTTAGGACTCTCAGAACCTTTGAACAGAAAACGAACCCACCTTTCAAGAATCGCCACGCTGGTTTCACTCGCATGCGCACGCGCGTTCCCCGTGCTCCCCGTTCCTCATCATGAGAACTTCTAATCATTAAACTTCACGCCTCTTTTTGTAGCATCCGCCTCCGCATTATCCGCATTCGCCTTCATCGAGTTATACCTCGTCGTCAGCGCGCCGACCGTTCTCTCCTGGCTCGCGCGAAGCGACACCTTGGTATTAAGTACCGCCTTGGCGCTGCGCTGCGCCACCAGCTTCTGCTGCGCAACCGCGTTCGACGCTTTCACGTCCGCGTCCGCCGCCTTGGTACTCGCAATCTTCTGCTGATACATCGCGAACGAGTCTTTCTCGTCCTTCTCCGCTTTTTCCTTTATCGCCTTCTGCTCGTCAGCCGCCCTTCGCGTCTCGCCTTTGTCCTGGACCTTGTTTCCGTGCTCCGTCGTGCGAGACTGAACCCGATAATCCGCGTTCGCCGCCTGCTTCTGAACCGCCACCAAGATTCGATCCGATTGCAGCTTAATGTTGTACGCCTCCAGCTGGTATGCCTTTGCCTCGGGAGTGCCGAGCTTCGCCGCGCTCCGAGCCGCCGAGGTAGCTTCGGCTTGCGCCTCCGCGGCGATCTTCGTCTGCTCCGCCATAATCATCTTGGTCGTTTCCAGTCGATTTTGGGCATCGATAATGTCTTTCGCCGCTTCCGCCTCGTCGAAGAGAGCTTCTTGGGCTTGCTGATCAAGCTCGTCGTAGTATTCGCGCTCTTCTTTTGTCGTCTGCTTCGCCTGGATGGTCGCCTGGCGTACCACCTCCTGCTCCTGCTTCGCGCGCTCCAGCGCCGCCTTCTTCCCGTTCAAATCCGCCATGGCGGCTTCCGCCTCCGCGTCCGCGTCCGCGGATTTCTTCGCCGCGTCGCGCTCTTCCGCCAGGCGCGCATCGAGCACCGCCTGTGCACTATCCAGGACATCCTTCGCCTGATTGGCCTGCGCGCGAAGCGCCTTAGCCTTGGAAGCGATGTACGCGGCTTGCGACGCGCTCAGGCCCTGCGCGTCCGCGATGAGGCTGGGATTAAAGTTGGTGGTTGTAGCGACGGCGAGCAGGAGCAGAAGGGCAAGCTTGGGAAAGCCTCGAGCGGCCATCATGCCACCTTGATCGGGTTGACCGCTCTTGACCGCGCTTGACTGCGCCTGTCTCAAGAAATGAGGCGAATGTAGCTGAGTGCGATGAGGAGTTTGATCGTTCAAGGTGATGGACTATGGTGAAATAGTAGGCATAAGGAGTTTAGACTATCGGGATGATGGTGACAGTGCAGTGGTTTCTAGTCGAGGAGCTGCTTTGTGTCTGATGAATTTGCTCTAGAATCTATCTTATACACTGCTACGAGGGCATGCCGCTACCAGAAAGGGTTACTAGGAACAGTGTGTGTGTGGAAAGCTGTCTCAGAGCGAGCCGGGGGTGGTTCGCCTGATGTTGAGATTGGCGGATTGGCGACGTGGAGTTTGGCCAAAAGGACTGTCGAAGTGATCCGAGTACCAGTCGGGAGTGTTCGAGAAAGTCGAATGCACCCAGTGGTGGTCCTTCGCACATCTCGAGGCCAGAAGTTTTGCGCGATTCGAGGAACCCAGCTGACGCCTCTAGCGGCGCCGGTGATACATTGCAGGTATTACTAGGGGAGAAACCAATCTCCTTGAAGGAAACTCCAGGAAAATGGAGCAGGTTGGGGGTGAAGTGGGGTCGGTTTGGGTGGATCGGGGGAAGGGTGGTAAATACGGTGGGTTGCAGTCGAAATCTCGGGAAGCCCAAATTACAACTGGAATTGGAGTCTACACGTTGCGAGCCGCGCATCCATGCAGCGGCGCGTTGGGGAAGACGTCCGGAAAGGTCTGGTGCGATTTCTGAGCCTAGTATCCAATTGAACGTGTACCCAACCCAATCGACAATGACGGGATGAGCATCCCGCACTCGACCTGAGACTGATACCAGATCTTTGCCTACTTCCATCCCATTGCGTTGCGTCGTCTGGATGTGCATATCCCGTCAGGGCGTGTTCAATAGCGCTCGAAAATTTGGTAATCGAACTTTGAAATTGAACAACCGTCATGGTTGTATTCGAACACCCTTTAGTCGAACTCGTGGCCTTGCCGCGAAGTCTTGTAAGAAAAGCTCGGTCACTAAAAAATAACCCACTTCAAGATTCGAACAAGTCGTCGTACGCTTCCTTACCTTACAGTGTCGTCATCGTCGCACTACATGTGATTGGGTTAGATCTGACACGTCAGCATATCGTGAGCGTCGCAACGTCGCACAAGTTGGAGCTCGAGCCGCGCCCGGGAGTGCTGTTCGAATGTTGGCGGGATCTCAGATTCGAAAACGTCAAACTCGAAAAGTGTCAACTTCTTCAGAGAGGCCTCGCGAAAACTCTTCGCGAGATTCACAAAAACAGGTTACCAAACAAGTTCGAATCTTTTCGAACACTAGTGCACACGCCCTTAGTATTCCAGACATCTCCAGTCCCTGATCTACAGTTCAGTACACTCTTCACTGATTCTAAGCAAAGGGCTGGTGGCAGCTGCAGAGTGTAACAGTATAATATCGAACCTGAACGCAACCCAGTGCGTCCAATTGACTCAACAAGTTCGATCCAGATCAAGCAGAGGTGAATGCGGTTCGAGGAGTGTTGCGAGTGTGGTCGCCTGGAGTCAACGCATTTTGCAATGCTTTCCCTCACGGCGACCCGTGGGGCAAGGGAGATGCGAGTCGCGAGCAGAATCGCGCCGCGAATCGCGATGCCTGACTCCAGCACATGGCTCATCGAGCATCGCCTGTGGAGGTGGTGGCTCCTTGCCACCACCACACACCACAGGAGGGGGAGATTCAGCAACTTCACTTGTCCAGAGTGTTGCTCCAGTCATAGGAGAAGTTGCAACCTAAAATGGTTTTCTCTGTCTTGGCTTCAATTTCTTCGTTTTTTCATGAAGCATAACTCCACCTTGTCAGTGCAGCGCCCTCAGGGATCGGGAGTCGATTAATTTCTGTAAAAAACGTATAGAATATATATTTATTAGTTTGTTGAAGGGCAGTTACCGGAAATATGCCAGCCTGGAGAACACGGGCGGCATCAGGCTAAACATAACCGAATGCGCCGCGCTGCACGATGTACACAGCCGACTAGACTAGTACTGTAACACAGGATAGAGTTCAACATGTACTTCGGCTGCAAGGTCGACTCCCAGTGGACGTACTTAGCTGATCACTGAGATCACACTATCACACTCCACTCTGACTCCTTTTCAACAGTCTTACTGTCAAACCACTTGTTCTTACGTCGTCTTATCAAAATCCCTCGCAGTGCTTCATTTCCCGCAATACGTCAAAATCTGACGTCTACACCTAAACAATCGAGCAGCTGCGATCTAGAATATCGACGTCATTATGTCGACTGCACGTGTTGCTCTCGCCGCCGCTCTTCTGACGTGTTTCGTCGCGCTTCTCGTCGCTCCTCCTGGCGCATCCGCCACCGCTCAGACCGCGTTTCTCGTTGCCAAAGCCAATAAGCTGCGCGCCGCAGCAGATCAAGCCGCGGCGGACCTGAAAACCGCGCAAGCCGACGCCGCCAAAAACGCGGAGGAAGCAGCCGCCGCCGAACAAGCGCTGTCCGATCTGCAGAGTCCGGAAGATGCGGCTCTCAACGACCTCGTTACAAGCGTCTCCAACACAAACGAAAGCGTCTCCGATGCACAGTACGACCTCGATATCGCAAACAAGGTTCTTGCTCTTCGGATGGCGGACCTTGCGGCGTTCAAGGCTGATCCCTCGAAGCACCCGCAAATCCCGGCGGCGCAGAAGGCTGTCAGCGACGCTACTCGCCGCGCGAAAATGACGTCAGCGCTGCTACAGGAGTGGCACCTGGTCGTGCAAGAGGCAGCGCAATCGGAAGCGGATGCGGAAAAGGCTCTCAAGGAAAACCCGGACTCGCCAGCGGCGGAAGCGGCTCTCGCGGAAGCGCAGGTTTTGCGCAAATCTGTGGAGGAGGTGTTCCCGGATATGGTGGCGCAAGATCAGCGCGCGCAGGCGCGACTGGAGCGCATGCAAAAGGAATTGAACGACCTGATCACGCTGGGTCCGCAAGGAGAGACCGTTTTCCAGGTTGCAGTGGACGATGCAAGAGCTGCGGTTAGCGTCGCCCGCCAGGTGTACGACGATTTGCTTGCTGCTGTCACTGACGCGCAAAAGGCTGTTGACGATTACCAGGCGAACAAGCAAAAGGCGGTTATTGAAGCGAAGGCGCGCTTGGCGAAGGCGAAACAGAGCCAGGCTGTCGCAGACAAGAAGGTGATTCAGCTCACGGATAAGCTCAAGGCTGCGCTGGTGCAAGCTGACAACGCGGAAAAGGCTGCTGGAATCAGCAAGATCGCCTAAATGGGCGTCGGAGCGCACGGTGTGCTGAACATTTTACACCAAAAGGCATATTGCTCTTCCCGTCTCAATATGGTTCTCATGCGCAGCAGTAGCGCAAGGGCTGCTCTTGCTCAAGGCTTCTCTATGCTCTTGAGAAATAAGTGCATGCAGGGGTTCAGAATGAACAAGTTGAGGGTGGGGTCAGGAGATCTTCAAAGCAGAGAGCTGTATTAATATTGAGTTCATTAATGATTTCATTGATTCCTTCCTTTGCATCAGCCTCCCTCCGCACATCGGAGTAAATCTAGGGTATTTGGTGGTGTGGTTCAGTTCAGTAAATCTAGGTTCATTGATTCCATGCATAAACAGCAACTTTTTGGTCGTGAGCATGTTCTTGATCTGTCTTAGCTGGACAGACTCTCGTTAATATCTCCAAATAGGACTTTCTGTCTGGGGATACTGTCAAGAATGTGGAAGAGAATGAACTGATGAACGATGGCATATAACAGCATGTATAGAAAAACCATACTAAAATAGCAAACAATGAAATATCAATCTCAACTAGATGATTAAAGATGATGCATCTACAGCCACTGTGGAACAGCCCCCAGCGGAAACGTGTGGTGGGGCTTTTTGTTTTCTTAACGAAGCCCAAAATCCTGTAGGCACTGGTTTGGAGTTCATCCACTGCGAGCCGCGCCAGATATTCAGCGGCGCGGTGTGGGGCAACGACGGGATTGCAATTTCGCGAGACATCAACAGGGATCTGATGTGAAAATATTCATGTCAGACCCCTGCTGAAAATGGTAACTCGGCCGGAGCATACCTTTTCGTTTGAGACGGGCTGCCAAATCTTAGTTATAACATAATTTTAGGGCGTTTGGCGGTAAAAAGCCCATTGAAATCTTAATCAACACCATTAATTGAGCATTTTTCCCGCAGGCCCGAATTTGTCAGTCGTCTGATAAATTTGGGGAGTGGGCTTACATAGACGGGAAACAAATATTTGAGGTCGAGTGGTACCCAGTCACGTCACGTTGGTAATTCGTTCGGCCAACGGGCGTGAGGGTCAAGGAGTGTTGTGCGTGTGGTCGCCTTGGGTCAACGCCAGGGGCTCCATTCACGTTGGGGGAGACGCGAGACGAGGTGGCCCAATTCGCATCGCAAATTCGCAATCCCCCACGCGAGCACATGGAAACCCCCTTGTTCTGCCTTACCAAAGCCCTGTAAATGCAGTTTCTCGCTGGCATTTAGGCTCGAAGCAGAGAGTCGTATCCTGTGCATGATAGAACGGGAGTCGCGTGGTTTTGAAAGAAGTCGTGGTTCTGGAAATACATTTGGTTATGGAATTGCTGAATTATCAAACGCAGAATCCAAGTCGATGCACGAATGCTAGTACCATTAAACTCCCAGTCTCGATCTGACCAACAACTCTCTTGTAGCTCAGTTATCTCCATCCTCGTGCCGCTTACACCCCCAGACATCTGAGCCGACGGCGCCAGAGGGACGCTCCCATTTTTCTTCAGCGGTTTACTATCACTCGCCCAACTCAACCCAGCTGCCGACGCGACGCCTACCATATCCTCGAGCCTCTAGCAACAGCTGAGCTGGTGCGATTCGTTATCGCCGCCGCTGCTCTCTCTGCAAACATGACGTGGATTACTGCGCGTGCTGCCCTCTCAGCAGCCCTGCTGGTAACTTTCGTCGCGCTTCTCGCTCCTCCCCGCCCATTCGCCGCCGCGCAATCCGCGTTTCTTATAGCGAAAGCGAAGACGCTGCGCGCCGTTGCGGACCAAATGGCGGCGAACCTGACAGCGGCGCAAGCGGACGCCGCGAGATGCGCGGACGAAGTAGCCAACGCCACGCAAGCGCTGTCCGATCTGCTGGCCCCGGACACGGCACTCAGCGACCGCATTTCAAGCATCTCCGATATGAATATAAGCCTCGCCAATGCACAGAACGACCTCAATATCGCGAATAAGGTCCTCGCTCAACGAATCGCGGATCTCAAGGCGTATAATGACGACCCGTCGAAGTTCCCGCAAATTCCGGCGGCGCAGAAGGCGGTGGACGAAGCGACGCGGCGCGCGAACACGACATCCGCGCTGATAGCGAGGTGGCAGGACATCATGCAGGATGCTTTGCAGGCCGAGGCCGAGGCGCAAAAATCGGTCGCGAATAACCCGTCTTCGGCGGCGGCACAGGTGACGCTCGCGGACGCGCAGGAGTCGCTGAAATATGTGGTGGACGTATACGCGGATATCGTGGCGCAAGATCAGCGCGCGCAGGCGCGGCTGGCGCGCGTGAAGAAGGAATTGAGCGATCTTCAGCAGAACCCGCCTGTGGTCGATGTGAACGTTTTTCCGAAGGCCGTGGATGACGCACGAGCCGCGGTTTCCGTCGCCCGCCAGGTGTACGACAGCATGCTTGCGGCTATTACTGACGCGCAGAATGCGGTGAATCAGTACAAGGCGGCGAAGGCGAAGGCGATCGCTGATGCGAAGACGCGTTTGGCGAAGGCGAAGCAGAGCCAGGCTGTCGCAGACAAGAAGGTGATTCAGCTCACGGATAAGCTCAAGGTCGCGCAGGCGCAAGCTGACAGTGCCGAAAAGGCTGCCGGAATCAGCAAACCTGCTGTTGGGATGAGCAAGACTGGTGGGCGCAGGAAGAAACACTAAATGGGCTTCGCTGAAGGCCCATGGGGTGTGACCAATTTGCGCGGGTGTCACATTCTACACCAATTTCATAAGTTACACTCTTATGCTGTCTGAAGGTGGCCTCTGTGCCTTCAATAAATAAGCGCATGCTGGATGTGAGAATGGCAGTTTTATTTACAAAGAGGAATGGTTTCTGAAGCTGTAATATTCTAAATATCTTGTTATTTGTTTGGAAAATTTTATGAAATGAAAGGTGATTATACCCACTTGGAAACTTGAATCTCATTGTACCAGAAATTATAGCATTGAATACCAAGGCTCACGAAATCATTCGGGTTCACGAGATCTGGTCAATTCAGACACTAGGTCATCGACGGTTGTCATTTCAATTTTTAACAACCGAATCGACCACATCGACGGCTTAGAATTCAACATTTCTCAACTTCTTTTTTCGGCAAGTGAACCTTGCCCGCAATCTCAACCGTACACATGCGGTTCGAGAAGTGTTGGAAGTGTGGTGACCTGGAGTCGGTCAACGTATCCGGGCAATTTTGTTTGTTCGTCCTCTTGGCAGCAACGCAAGGGAGGGAGGGAGGGAGTGAGACGCCCGACGATGGGCCGCGAGCGGAATCGCACCACAATTCGCGCGAATCGCGGGAGGGCCTGCCTTGATCACATGGCCTGCCCGCCTCATCCCTGCCTGCCACCACAGGAGAAAGATTCGTCAACTTATTGATTTGTGGTGTTTGCTCGCTACCTACCGTACCACTTTCAAGGAACAGCTGTAACAAGCCTGTCTCTGTTCTGGCATATACCTCGATGCTACCTTGCCTCAGTCCATATTCGGGAATCGTTAGTCAAATCCGGTATTAGTCCCTAAAAAACATGACCGGAAGTCGTGAGTGTCTGTTTTCTTGGTGGGAAACGCTGAGTGCTGATTTCAATAGATTATTCGTTGATAAGCCAGGTACATTCAGAATCATCACGCTAGCGTGGTGAGTGTCTAGTACTTATCATGTCACTCGTTCTTTCGCCAGCTGAGCTCATCCACTGTCCATTCCCTATCAGGTGCTTAGAATTCCCCACGGGATATTCGAGAGCCCCGTGCTTTCTTTGTCTTGCAGCTGCCAAACGTAGTACAGTAGAGCATCATTTGAAGTTCTGCGAACAAGCAAGCTGCTTTTGATTCAGTAAAAGGAACGCCGGCGCGATGACGATTTCGCGTGCTGCTCTCGCCGCCGCTCTCCTGGCGTGCTTCGCCGCGCTTCTCGCTCCTCCCGGGACGCTCGTTTCCGCGCAAAACGCTTTCCTCATAGCGAAAGCCAAGACGCTTCGCGCCGCGGCAAATCAGACTGCGGCGGACCTGAAAGTGGCGCAAGCAGATGCCGCCAAACAGGCGGCTGAAGTCGCCGCCGCCAACCAAACTCTGTCCGATCTGCAGGGCCCGGACCCGGCTCTCAACGACCGCATTGCAATGATCGCCGAAATGAATAACAGCGTCGCCGATGCGCAGTACGACCTCGAGATCGCAAATAAGATCCTCGTTCTCCGGATCGCGGATCTCGCGGCGTTTCAGGCCGACCCGTCAACGCACCCGCAAATCCCGGCGGCACAGAAGGCGGTCAACGATGCGACTCGGCGCGCGCGCATGACGTCAATGCTGCTAGAGGAATGGCGGTTCGTCGTGCAAGAGGCCGCGGACGCGGAAAAAGACGCGGAGAGGGCAGTAAATAAAAATCCGACTTCGTTGGTGGCGCAGGCTACACTCGTGGAAGCGCAATTTTACCGCCAATCTGTGGAGGATGTGCTCCCGGATATCGTGGCGCAAGATACGCGCGCGCAGGCGCGGCTGGATCGCGTTCAGAAGGAATTGCTCACTCTGCTTTCGCAGGGTCCGCAGGCAGAGAGCATTTTCCAAATGGCGGTGGATGATGCGAGAGGCGCGGTGAACGCCACGACCCTGGTGTACGATGACGCGGTCGCGGCTGTCGCTGACGCGCAATTGGCTCTTGCCGACTACCTGGCGGGGAAGGAGAAGGCGATTACTGACACGAAGGCGCGCTTGGCGAAGGCGAAGCAGAGCCAGGCTGTCGCAGACAAGAAGGTGCTTCAGCTCACGGATAAGCTCAAGGCTGCGCTGGTTCAAGCTGACAACGCGGAAAAGGCTGCAGGAATCTACAAGCCTCCTGTAACCACCAGCAAGACTGCCTAACTTGATTCGCCAGAGAACCCAAGCCGTGACGAATGAGTGCGGGTGTGTCGCCTCTCCCGCTCTTCATTTACAATCATACGTCGCTCGTTCGGGGATGTTTCTACTGCACAGCAGTAGCACAAGAACTGACCTGCGTAGCTAAAAAAAAGAGCTGAGAGCTCGCAGGTGCGTAATGGGTTGGTTTTCTGTTTTTAATGTGATATACATAGTGCTATTCTTTCATTCTTTGCATCACCCTACTCATAAGCTATCACATCACCTACAGACATGAAACCTACTGTTGAAAGATGCGCAGATGACAATTTGTGGACAGTAGAATGTGGGGTGATGAATTGGGAGGTTGTACGATACATCAACAGACGAGCCAATAGGTCAAGGTATAGAAAGAGAGGGTGCAGACCATACCTCCATGCTTTGAGAACAAGGCATGGAAACAAAGATGGTTCAACAGTGGATTTAGGCTTTGAGAACAAACCATTGTGAGCCCTTCCTGTCATGAACCCTCTGTAGCAATCAAGCAGCTGAGGTTACTTGAGCAGTGCCGGTGGGGAGACTTGGCAGGCAAGAGGAACTGGTAAACCGTCCACTGATGAAAAGGTGTAATCGTGAGATGATGTAGACTGTACACTGTACATTTGTTGAACAAAAACCCAGTACAAGCTGCTCCATGCAATCTATCAAAGCATAGTATTCCTGTAGATCAGCCACCAGGAGTGCATAAGAATAGAGCATGTACGACAGCCAGTTTTACCAGATTAGCGGCACGACAGCCGGCCAGTAACGACAAGGAATGCCATCCGGAAGTCACTGTAAAACGACCAGAGCGGGTAACGAAAAGTCGCCGGTCTGTTCCGCTGGACGAAGAAATGCGAATACCACGCGCAGCCGTAACCGACGACAGGGGCCAGTAGGAGGAAACTAGGGTTCCGTGTGACTGCAGATGTTGTGACGCAAGCGAGAGCGGCTAGGGTTCCAGCGGTGTGAAACAAACGAGTGGCTGGCTTGCTGTGCTCTTTGAGATAAAACGGCCAGAACTCAGCGTAAGTCGCGATACGCGTGTGCGGGGGTACAGCTGGTTTCGACATCAACGACGGTCCTGATGCGGATAGGTGATCCTCTGCAGCACCCCTAGCCATATTAAATCGAGTATTCCTGGACTAGGTTGTGGATTGCCTACACCACACTGACTGGGGTTGGCCGCTAGGCTGGATTTACTAATAGGGTAGATTAGAGCCGCATCGTCCACCTACTAATTTGGAAGCAAGAAGACAGGTAGGGGAAGGAAGGTGCAGTATTTACGGGATTGCCCACAGCAGTTCCTCTTGAGAAGCGACCACTGGATAGGAGAGGTAGAGGGGTGGGTCGTCGAGTTGATCGCTCTGGCTTCTTGGCGAAATCCTTGTAGCCAGTGAGGCGATAGATGATCGGAGGGTAACATGAAGGCGAACAACCTTCATGCGATCTCGCGTAACTGCCCACGAAAGTAAACTCCCATGACCCGCCCCTGCATGCTGGACAACCCAATTTTGTCATAACAACCAAGCTTGTTTGGGCTGGTTACCACTCTAGGATCAAAAGTCGTGCAACACTCTGGAAGGGTGCTGCGAGGCTGGGGAAGACATTGCACCTACCGGCGAAAACGCGCGCGAAGCTGAAATGAAACTTGTGCGATGTGAGCGATTGTCTGCCTGCTGACATGAATTTCTTCCATCTCAAGGAATTTCTTGCCTGTCAGCCATGCAATGCACGAATGGCGGTCATGCGGGAAGTGCGGCGCATGCGCAGCATGCAATGCAACTTAATCCTCGTTCTGCGCCGCTCAGGAAGTTGACGAAGATTGGCCATAGAAGGCGCGAAAATGCTTCGCGCAAGTAATGCGCACAAGTGACGCGCGCAAGTGATGCGCACAAGTGATGCGCGCAAGTGATGCGCGCAAGGGATGCGCGCAAGTTAACTGCGCAGCTGACGCCCGCAGCCGATGCCTTCCGAGTTCGCTTCTCGGTTTTTTAAAAAAGAGTTTCACATAAAACGACTTATCTTGGAACGAGTGTGAAGTTTAATCACTCAGACGGAAGAAGTCGTGGATTGCCATCTCTGGTCTCGATCTTTCTTGTCAACATGGCGCAGTCTCTATTTGCGAAAGTGTTACCCTCGCCACTCGCGTCGCGAGCGTCGTTAAAATCTTCCACTCGGAACCATAGTGTAGTTCGTAACAAACTTAACTGCGTGGCGTTTCCACGTCAGATCTACGTCACCAGGCGGATGACAGGAGGACGCTCGGTGGTGATGACCGCCACGGATCCGAGCCACGTGGCGCGCGGAGAGCCTACCACGAAGGAAAAGCCAGCTCAGCCGTTCGCGGAGAAGGAGGGTGTGATTGAAGGGAAGGCTGTTCTAGCGAAGCCATCGCAGCTGCCACCAGAGCCTCCTAATAGACTCACGGAGCTCTATGATAAGGTATGAATTCTTAACTTATGAGTGAGAAGAGACATCTTGATGGTCTCACAAATCTAATGCTGTCGCGGCTACCAGAGCCTCCGAATAGACTCACGGAGATCTTTGTAGGGAAAAATTATGCTTTGAGTGATCTCATAAGAGGGTTCCTTAGGCGCCTCACGCAGGTCTTATATCGGGTATATATTGCTACATGCAGGAGGGGCAGTCCCCCTGGATTGACAACCTGACGCGTGACTGGGTGGCATCGGGTCATTTAAGGGAGTTGGTCCGACGTGGCGTTAGAGGCATCACCAGCAACCCTACTGTATTTTCAACTCTCAGCTCAATATCTGATTTTGAATTTGAAATCTCAGGCCTTCATAAATGCTTTCGGTTTCCTCTTGTAAAATATGAAATTGTTCTCTCTTTCCAATTCTCTCTCCAAATTGACATGTTTAGATATGTTTTGGGGGAATTTTTGCAGATTTTTGAGAAGGCGATTAGTGGGACAGACGTGTACGACCAGCAGCTCCGGTAAGTTTTCGTGGCTGATAGGTTACTTCTTTTACTGTCAGTGAGTCATGGGGAAGCATTAGGGTGCTGCTCCTACCTCCTTGTAATATTTTCCTACCCACTATTGTCCCAATGCTATTTCAGAATCATTTTGTTCCCCAAGGGAGTGTTGTTATAGGGAGGGATGTTAGAGAGCCGTGGGGAGCTCTGGGGAGTCCTGTGACTGATATTTCTCATTAATATCCTACCCCCTATTGTCCCACTCGTTATTACTTCACGTTTCTTTTTCAGGAACATTCTGTTCCGTGAGGGGGTGCTGCTGGGCGGAGGGATGGCGGAGAGCCATGGGGAGGTGGAGATGGGGGTGGTGGAGGCCGCTTATTGGGAGATGGTGAAACAAGATATTGGCATTGCTGCTGCTTCGTTAGAAGAGCTGTTCCGTGAATCTAATGGTGAGTTTGAGAGTGCTTATAGCGAGTATACTGATGTGAAGATGCATGGGGAGGTGGAGTGGAGGGTGGTGGAGTGGAGGGTGGTGGAGTGAAGGGTCTGTACTGGAAGATAGTGAAACAAGATATTGTCACTGCGGCTGTGTTTGAGCCGACTCATAAACAGGGCATGTATTGGGAAATAGTGAAACAAGATACTGTCACTGCGGCTGTGTCATTAGAACAGCTGTTTTATGCCGTAATGGTGGGCTTTGTAGTGCGTACAGCAAGTAAGTCATATACCTAACAAGTTCCTGGTTTAGTTGTAGGTATTAGTTTTCCTATTTTGAGGCGCCTCAAAAATCGTTTCCTTCAGTGAAATCAGCTCATGCATTATTGCTTTGTCTGACCAAATTCTTATCCAATCGATGCCTGCCATGTCATCAGGTGGCGATGGGTTCGTCTCTCTTGAGGTCTCGCCGAGGCTAGCCTACGATACACCAGGTTCGGTGTCGCTTGCTCGGGAGCTCCACGGTGACCTGGCTCGGCCGAACCTGATGGTCAAGATCCCTGCCACCGAGCCTGGTGTGGCAGCAATTCGAGAGATGATTTCCCGCATGAAGAACATTAATGCCACTGTAAGAACACTCCCTGCTTTCCCCCCTGCCTGCTTTGGTCCTCCTTGCCACTGAGCCGGGCGTGGCTGCCATTCGAGAGATGATTTCACGCATGAAGAACATTAACGCCACTGTAAGCACATCCTCTCTCTGTTCCCCCCCCCTTTCCTTTCTGCTTTAACCCTGTTCCCCCTCCCCCCCCCCCCCTTCACCTCCACCGAGCCTGGTCACGGCTGCCATACAAGGAAGATTATTCGTCTTGCAGAACGAGACGATTTTTTTAGGTTCCTCAAAACGCGCTGCTGCCATGCCATGCATGCAAGAGGGAGGTTATTTCTCTCGCGGGACGAGTGTCAATGGCATCGCAATCACTTCTCTCTCTTCCTCTCTCCACCCAACTTTCCTTGCCAATCGGGCCCTTCTCCTTCCCCGCTCCCCTCCGTCACCATCCTCGGCTGTTCATTTTCTCTCTTGACACGCTACGGTCATGCATTTTCTCTCTTGACACGCTACAGTCATGCATTTTCTCTCTGACCCGCTGTCCTACGGTGAGGTCATGGGGGCTTACGGCAGTCCTTTCTCCCCCACTATCCACCGCGTCCCCCCTTCTTTTGAGGCGCCTCAAAAGTCACTATCCACCGCGTCCCCCCTCCTTTTGAGGCGCCCCAAAAGCCACTGTCCACCGCATCCCCCCTCCTCTTTCCTCTGTTGTACCCTCCTCCCCTTCTTTTTCTCAACTCATCTTCTCTCCGACAGGCTACAGCGAGTGTACGGAGGCTGATGTGGCAGTTTTGGTCCTCTATCCTCATAGTTTTGAGGCGCCTCAAAACTAGACTCTATCCTCATTCCTTTCCCTGTGCTCCCACTATCCACCTTTACTCCCCCCCGCCTCTCCCCCTTCCCCACTCCAACCCCCCCTTACTGCGCAGCTCATCTTCTCTCTGACGCGCTACAGTGAGGTCATGGAGGCTTACGTGGCAGGCCTGGAAGGTCCTATTTCCCTCGCTAACCTCCCTGCGTTACCCCCTCCTTTCCCCCTTATCCCCCTTTTCCCCCTTTGGCGCCCACTTACCGCCCAGCTTATCTTCTCTCTGACGCGCTACAGTGAGGTCATGGAGGCTTACGTGGCAGGCCTGGAGGACGCCGTGGCAGCTGCCAACGCGGCGTCTGAGCTGTCAGCAGCCGCGTCTGACTCAGCAGCAGGCGCGCTGCCACGTGTCAACCTCTCCTCGGTCTCCTCCGTGGCTTCGTTCTTTGTCTCTCGCGTCGACAGTGCCGTGGACAAACGTCTCCAGGTGTGTGTGGGTGGGGGAACGAGCAATCTCCAGGTGTGTGTGTGTGTGTGTGGCTTATGAATGCAACAAACGGGCTGAGATTGGGGTGCAGCACAAACGGGTATGCGTGTGCTGCACGCCGCCGCCGCAGCACAAACAGGTATGCGTGTAACAGGAGACCGAGCAGCACGCCTCTCCTCAGTCTCCTCTGCTGCTTTGTTCTTCGTGTCTCGGGTCGACTGTGCTGTTGACAAGCGCCTGAATGCTTAAGCGTGGGTGTTGTGATGAAGCGAGGAGGTATGTGTGTGTGTGGGAGGAGGTATATGTGTGTGTGGGAGGAGGTATATGTGTGTGTGGGAGGAGGTATATGTGTGTGTGGGAGGAGGTATATGTGTGTGTGGGAGGAGGTATATGTGTGTGTGGGAGGAGTTATGTGTGTGTGGGAGGAGGTATATGTGTGTGTGGGAGGAGGTATGTGTGTGTGGGAGGAGGTATATGTGTGTGTGGGAGGAGGTATGTGTGTGTGGGAGGAGGTATGTGTGTGTGGGAGGAGGTATGTGTGTGTGGGAGGAGGTATGTGTGTGTGGGAGGAGGTATGTGTGTGTGGGAGGAGGTATGTGTGTGTGGGAGGAGGTATGTGTGTGTGGGAGGAGGTATGTGTGTGTGGGAGGAGGTATGTGTGTGTGGGAGGAGGTATGTGTGTGTGGGAGGAGGTATGTGTGTGTGGGAGGAGGTATGTGTGTGTGGGAGGAGGTATGTGTGTGTGGGAGGAGGTATGTGTGTGTGGGAGGAGGTATGTGTGTGTGGGAGGAGGTATGTGTGCAGTGGGGAGGCATGTTTTGCCCAAAGCACTTTTGAGACGTCTCAAAAGCTGTGTTAAAGTCGTCCCAAAGCATTTCCATGATTTTAGTGTGCTCATTGTGTGATGTTCTCACACGTCTCTTCTGTCTGCTCTGCAAGAAGTTGGACCGGAGGAGGCTCGGCTCGGGCTCTGCTGGGGAAGGCAGCAGTGGCACAGGCGGTGGTGGCATGTGACATGTTCAATGCGCCTGTGTCACTGTATTTTGTTGATACTCAATGGTTTTTTCTGCGTGTGTGTCCCCCTCCTCTGCTCTGCAGGCCATTGGAACGGAGGAGGCGCGGGCTCTGCTGGGAAAGGCAGCAGTGGCACAGGCGGTGGTGGCATATGACATGTTCAATGCGCCTGTGTCACTGTATTTTGTTGATACTCAATGGTTTTTTCTGCGTGTGTGTCCCCCTCCTCTGCTCTGCAGGCCATTGGAACGGAGGAGGCGCGGGCTCTGCTGGGAAAGGCAGCAGTGGCACAGGCCGTGGTGGCATATGACATGTTCAAGACCAAGTTCAGCGGTCCCAGGTGGGTTCAGCAGGTTTAGGTGGGTTCAACGGTTCCAGGTTGATTCAGCAGTTTCAGGTGTGCATCCCATGTGGTTTCATCAGGCTCAGGTGATTTCAGCGATGTCCAGCGCAGCAGTCACTGTGGGCGCCTACAGCGCAGACAGATCCATCGAATCCAGACACAAAGCACCAGTTCTTCATGGTTCAGTTGGACTCTGCTCAGGTGGAAGGCATTAGAGCAGCTTCATGAAATCAAATGCCTATTCACCAATCCAACTTACCCAGGTGGAAGGCTCTTGAGCAACTGGGAGCACGGGTGCAGCGGCCACTGTGGGCGTCGACAGGCGTGAAAGATCCATCGTATCCAGATACAAAGTACATCGACGCTCTGATTGGTCCGCACTCTGTCAACACCATGCCTGACGCCACCCTGCTTGCCTTTGCCGACCATGGGGAGGTGAGGGATTTCTCTATGGTTGGATATTTTCTTTCTGTTTTCCAATCTGTTTTTTGTTATAGTACGTTACATGGACCGCATGTTATTTGTGCGAGGTGTGCGCAGGTGAGGCGCACTGTAGATGCTGATGTGGATGCTGCCTATGGTGTGCTGGATCGTCTGAAGGCTGTGGGAGTCGATATGGAGGAAGTTGCCAAGGTGAGATGACCTTCCATATCTGCTAATGCGTGCGTACGTGCCTTGATGATGCCATGTCAACAGGTCCTTTTGAGTCGACTCAAAAGTCAACAGGTCCTTGAGTGCATGGGTGGCACATGCATGGGTGCATGGGTATGCATGCATTGTGTGCATGGTGAAGTTGGGATGAATGTAGAAATTTGTTGCTTGGTGGTTTGTTTGTTTGTTTGTCTGTTTGTTTTTTTTTTTTTTGCCCAAGTGTTTTGCAGTTTTGCAATCTTATTCGCCCGATGGTAATGGTTATGGCAGGAGCTGGAGGCCGATGGTGTTGACAAATTTGCAAAATCGTTTGATGGCCTGCTTGCTGCTCTTCAGCGCAAGGCCACCATGATACGTGGTGCAAGCATCAACTAGGTGGAAGCACATGCTTGCATGGTGTTAGGTGTGCTTGCAATTACTGTTGTGGTATTTGCACTGGACCTCCGCAATCTACTTGTGCTTGTGTATATACTACGATAGTTGTTTTTTTCGCACGGCGTTTATTCTCATGCCAAGAAAAGCAACAAACGTTAGTGGATATATACCAATGAAAGCGGTAGCAGCATATTACAAGTTTTAATTGCAACAATTAATAGTTGCACAATTACCTATCTATATCGTGTTGAAGCTGAAGCCTAATATTTGTTTATCCCAGAACAAGTATCATAATGTGCGTGTCCTCGGGGTAAAAAAATCACCGTCCACGGTGCGAGGTGAAAGGCAAGGCGCGTGGCCGTAATAAATTAGAGCGCGAATTCACAAAAGCGCGCAAATTTCTCTCTTCCTGGGAGAATACTGGCGCCATGAAGCTGGTCGGGAAGGCGCACTTCGTAGCGAAGACACCCGCGAAGTTGCGAGAAGCGAGTGAAGCTGGTATCGAAGGTTGCGAGAGGCTTTCGCAAATCGTCGCCAAGGCGAAACTTGCGACCACCCTGCAGGAACCTCTTGGTTCAAGGTTAGGTGGGAAAATAGACTAGAGCTACACATGTCAGGGATACATTGCGGTAATGGCGATAATGGCGGCGCATGCTCCAGCAGCACGCGACGGAATGCGATGCATCTCACTGGTCGATTTGTGGCGTGCGAGATATTGTGCGAAAATGGCGCGCGGAGCCAAACGGCGGAACACGCGCGGAAGCGGAGTGCCCAGCCGAAGCGCGGAAACGGCGCGCGGAACTGACGCCTTCCGAGCAATTTTTCTTGGCTCTTACTACTACTTACATATTGACAGTCGCTGTCGTAGTCATATGTCGTCTAGACGTCATCTTAAAGCAATTGTACCCCTCCAACAAGTGATTCCTGTGCAAATTTTCCAAGAAATATTCCTCTTCTCAAATCTCAATTTGTGCCGCATCGAGCTTTCTTTCCATCATGGCGCAATCCCTTTTGGCGAAAGTGTTACCATCGCCACCCGTGTCGCGAGCGTCGCTAGGATTCTCCACTCTGCACCAAAGCCGTGCAGTTCGTACTAACAAGCGTGGCGGCATGGCGTGTCCACCTCAGCTCCACGTCAGCAGGCAGATGACAGGTGGACGTTCGGTGGTGATGACTGCCATGGATCCGAGCCACGTGGCGCCCGGTGTGATTGGAGGGAAGGTCGTTCTAGCGAAGCCATCGCTGCTGCCACCGGAGGCTCCTAACAAGCTTACGGAGCTCTATGACAAGGTAAGAGCTCATTGTGGGTGATACTAAGAGGATTTCTTAGGCGCCTCGACTCGAAATCGTCACTGCGAACACCAGAGCATCCTAGAGGTCCCGTTTTAGCCACGCTCTTGTGCACGCTCACCTTATATCGAGTATGTTTTACTACATGCAGGAGGGACAGTCCCCCTGGATTGACAACCTGACGCGTGACTGGGTGGCATCGGGCCATCTCAAGGAGCTGATCCGACGTGGCGTGAGAGGCATCACCAGCAACCCTACGGTAAGTGTTTCCTTCGTGTAACACCGCGAGAGCGAACCTGTTTCGAATGTTTGTTTGTTTGTTTGTTGTTTTTTTTTTTTTTTTACTTTGGAGGCATTTATTACCCGCAAGATGGCTGCACATGGCACAGTTGCTGCTGTTTGCACCCAGTAAGCATATGTATCGACATATACACCCTTATTTTCTGATGTCATTTTGAAATGATTCTTTCTAAATTGTTTCACGCAAACTGGCCTTCGTTTTCTCTCTTTTTTTGGCGTCGTTGTGTTGCTTATTTTCACATCAGATCTTTGAAAAGGCGATTAGCGGGACGGACGTGTACGATCAGCAGCTTCGGTAAGCCACCATTAAAATACTGCTATGCTTGTAATGAACTTTCTCTGAGCTTGCCATCAGCAGCTTCGGTAAGCCACCATTAAAATACTTTTATGGTTGTAATGAACTTTCCATGAAACGGGGGGGGGGGGGGGGGGATGGCGTAGAGCCATGGAGAGCTCTGGAAAATCCTGGGAGTGATATTTCTCATTATTATCCCATCTGCTATTGTCCCACCCGCTATTACTACATGTCTGTTCTTTTTCAGGAACATTTTGCTCCGTGAGGGCGTGCCACTAGGGGGAGGGATGGCGGAGAGCCATGGGGAGTCCTGGGGGTGAAAATTCTCAATAATCTCCCACCCACTATTGTCCCACCCGCTATTGTCCCACCCGCTATTTTCCCACCCACTATTACCACGTCTATTACTTCAGGGACATTTTGTTCCGTGAGAGCGTGCCGCTGGGGGGAGGGATGGCGGAGAGCCATGGGGAGGTGGATATGGGGGTGGTGGAGGCTGCGTATTGGGAGATGGTGAAACAAGATATCAGCACCGCTGCTGCTTCGTTAGAAGAACTATTTCACGCTTCTAATGGTGTGTTTGAGTGCTTATAGCGAGTATATCAAGGCGGAGAGCCATGGGGTGGTGGAGAGTGCTTATAGGGAGAAGGCGAGGCAGGATATCACCACTGGTGCTGCTTCGCTAGAAGGATCATACAGTTTGGGTGTGTTTGAAGCTTGCCGAATCATTCACTGTTTTTGTAATATTCCCTTGTTCGAACTACTTCAGAAGGTTTACTATTACATGTTGACCATCTCTCGTCCAATCAATGCTTGCCACGTCATCAGGTGACGATGGGTTCGTCTCCCTTGAAGTCTCGCCGAAGCTAGCCTACGACGCGCCAGGTACGGTGTCCCTGGCTCGGGAGCTCCATGCCGACCTGGCTCGGCCGAACCTGATGGTCAAGATTCCTGCCACCGAGCCTGGCGTGGCTGCCATTCGCGAGATGATCTCCCGCATGAAGAATATAAACGCCACTGTAAGCACTCGTTCTCTCTCTCTCTCTCTCTCTCTCTCTCTCTCTCTCTCTCTCTCTCTCTCTCTCTCTCTCTCTCTCTCTCTCTCTCTCTCTCTCTCTCTCTCTCTCTCTCTCTCTCTCTCTCTCTCTCTCTCTCGCCACCCCTCCCCTTGCTCCTCCCGAGTCCCAACCCAAGCCCCACTGCTTCCCACCCAGGTTTCCAACCGCCCTTCCAATTGCACAGCTCATCCTTTCTTTCTTACAGCACTTGCTGTGCTCTCACCTCTCGCCTCTCAGCTACAGCTTCCCCCTTCCCCACGTGCCCCCCCATCCCCCCTCCCCCACGTGCCCCCCCCTCCGGTGACCCCACCTTCCCCCCCCACCCCCTCTGGCTCAGCTCATTTTCTCTCTGACGCGCTACGGTGAGGTGATGGAGGCTTACGTGGCAGGCCTGGAGGACGCCGTGGCAGCTGCCAACGTGACAGCTGACGCCCTGCCACGTGTCAACCTCTCCTCTGTTGCCTCCGTGGCTTCGTTCTTCATATCTCGCGTCGACAGTGCTGTTGACAAGCGTCTCAAGGTGTGTGTGTGGGTGAGGAGGTGCGTTTGTGGGTGAGGAGGCATACGAGTGGGTGAGAAAACGAGCGCGCTCAAGGTGTGTGTGGGTGAGAGGACGAGTTCAGGCTGTGGCGGCACCTGACATGTTTCATGTGCCAGTGTTGTGTTGATTTGTGATTGATCTCATGTGTGTGTGTGTGTGTGTGTGTGTGTGTGTGTGTGTGTGTGTGTGTGTGTGTGTGTGTGTCTGTGTGCGCGCGCGCGTGTGTGTAGGTGCGTGCGTGCGTGTGTGCGGATATGTGTGTGTGGGTGTGTGTGTGTGTGTGTGTGTGTGTGTGTGTGTGTGTGTGTGTTGGCTTGCCTCGAACGTCGCTTCCCCCTGCCCTGCAGGCCATCGGCACAGAGGAAGCATTGGCTCTGCTGGGGAAGGCAGCAGTGGCACAGGCGTTGGTGGCATATGACATGTTCAAGACCAAGTTCAGCGGTCCCAGGTGGGTTCAGCAGCTTCAGGTGTGCAGTCCCAGGTGATTTCAGCAGTGTACAGCGCAACGGCCTCTGTGGGCATCAGCAGGAGTGACAGATTCATCGTATCTAGACACAACGCACCTGGTCCGTTCCCTGGTGGATGGCATTAGAGCGGTTGGGAGCAGGGTTGCAGCGGCCACTGTGGGTGTCATTATGCGGGGAAGATTTGTCGTATACGAACACACGCACGCACACGCACGCACACGCACGCACGCACGCACGCACGCACGCACACAAAATCACAATTTGACCTGTGAAAACTCTGTTTGTTTGTTTGTTTGTTTTTTTTTTTTTACCAATTGGACGGCTCCCAGGTGGGAGGTTCTGGAGCTGCTGGGGGCGCGGGTGCAGCGGCCGTTGTGGGCGTCAACGGGAGTGAAAGATCCTTCGTATCCGGACACAATTTACATAGACGCTCTGATTGGTCCACACTCTGTCAACACCATCCCTGACGCCACCCTTCTTGCCTTTGCAGACCATGGGGAGGTGAGAAAGTCTGCGTTTGATTTATATTTCCTTTCTTTTTTTCCAACTCGTTGATTACAGTGAACCGCCGTCAGCATGTTTTCTGCATCCTGTTCTCCTTCATGGTTTCTCTCCCACCTGTTTTTTTGTGTCTGCTTGCTTAGAAGCAACATATGATACTTTGATTTATGTGATAATAGATACAACGTATGTTTATTTAGAAGAAACGTATGATACACAGAAGGTATGAGGTTAATAGATACTGCACAACGTTTTATACATTGATTTATGTGTTAATCTTTATGGGTTGTGTGCAGGTGAAACGCACTGTAGATGCTGACGTGGATGCTGCCTATGCTATGCTGGATCGCCTCAAGGCTGTTGGAGTGGACATGGAGGAAGTTGCCCAGGTGAGATACATTCCTACAATTGCTAAACGCACGGCTGAACACCCGCTCACGTGCATTGGTGCATGGGTGTACGGTTTTGAGTTGACTCAAGAGTTGTATCAAGGCTGGGGTGGCATAGGAGGAAGTTGCCAAGGTGAGGCTATTTTCACAACTTCTAATGTGTGACCACGTGCATGGGTGCATGGGTTTGAGAGAAGAGTTTGACAACAACTAATGCTTGCACAAGGTGAATCAGGTGTTGCTTCCGGTGCAGTTCAATCAGGTATTTTGCTTGCAATCTCTCTCGGCCAACTGTGATGGTTATGGCAGGAGCTGGAGGCTGATGGTGTTGACAAGTTCGCAAAATCATTTGACGACCTGCTTGCTGCTCTTCAGCGCAAGGCCACCATGATACGTGGCGGAAGCATCAACTAGATGGAAACACATGTCTGCATGGTGTGAGGTTTGCCTGCAGCCGCCGGTATTTGCTCTGTTATGAACCTCCATGCTTGTGTGCACTCTGTACATTGTAGTACGTGCTTTTCTTTTTGTACATGTGTGTTTATAGGATTTTCTCAATACACGTAACACAGTAGTGTGGAAATATAAAATTTTTTAAACGTTTTATCGCTTTCAAATTTGCGTATTGTGAAAGCGAAGCTGACTGTAACGCAATTTGTGCATCGTCGAAGCGCGGTATTCGCCTTCTCCGAATATATAATGTGGGCTGGGGTCATTCTTCCCCCACCCACGTCTCTCATTTTACAATCGCTCAAGTTCAATTCCCAGTTCCGAGACCGATCCCGATTTTGTCGGAGGCTCCAACCCCCTCCCGATTTTTTCGGACCTCAACCTGGCGAGGGTGAAAACCCTTCCACGTTTTCATTCACCCTCGACGCTGCTGTCGGACATTCTTACCTACAATCAAGCTTCAATGGCGCCGACTGACAACGCCCCGAATCGTTCGGACAACGAGAAGAACGCCCGTGAAATTTCGGGCGATCGCCGCAACAAGCGACGGGCGGATGACGAATGTATCGCGACCACTGGCGTCGATCTTTTGACGCGCAGTGCGGAAGTCAACAAAACCGCCAACAAACAGCACCCCTCGGCGCCTGTGGCGCCTGAGGGGCCTGTGGCGCCTGCGGTGCAAGTGGCGACCGCGGCACCTGCAGCACCCATGGCGCCACACGCGCCTGACGCCGAGCACGCGCCAGCACCTGTGGCCGGACCGTCGCGTCAGCGCCAGAGGCGCCGAACTGGGTCTTCGTCTGACGCGACGGCTGACCCTGCTTTGACTCCGCCGACGCTGACTGCTGACCAGGTCCAAGCGCTTTTGGCGCTGTTACAGCAGCAGCCGCCGACGGTTACGCCTACAGCGACAACAATTTCCGCATCTGCTAAAAACGCAAACGCAAGAAACGATTTGGCACGTCACCCCCGCGTGCCCGAAGTCCCTCGTGCCGAAAGGGAACACGCTGCAGCTCCGGCGCCCAACGTCGTCAACGACAACAGCGACTCTGAAGACGAAGCGGGTGAGGCTAATGCACACAACAATTTTATTGCACCTGCCGAACATCTTCCTCCACTCCCATCCACCAACCCCACCATTCCGGCTTCTTCTTTTCACCACGCCGGGGTACGCGAGCAAGCCGAATTTCTGGAGGACCTGCGCGCGTACCTGAAGCACTCGGAGCACAAGATACGCCACGGCGACACCGCTGGCGCTCTCGAGCTCTTCGAAGAGGCGTACGCGCTCATCGCCGATCGCTTCCAACTCCTTCAAGTCGCCGACGCCTCCGACTTCAAGACGGCGCACCGCTTCAAGCTGTACCAGCAGAAAAGTGTGCTGACTTCGCGCCCTTTCAAGCAGGCGCTCGCGGATGTGGCAGCAATGAACCGCGCCCAAGGCTCCTACGGTCGCGGTTCTTCCCTTGGAGGCCGCGGTCCCACGGGGTTTGGCGGCAAATTCGGCACGACCCCTGGCTGCGATGCTAGGGGCTTCCGTGGCACCTGTTTCCGCTGCGGCCAGCCAGGCCACACTGCCAACGCATGCCCTGCTGGTGGGCACGGTCCTCACGGACCCGCACCGGTGGTGTAAACTCGACGGGGCGCATAACCGCACGAAGGCTATTGGCCGTGCCCTTGGGCTGTTTTTTATTGCCGGTTGGCTAGCCCTTGGGGGGAAAGACCATTTGGGGTCTAAGGCGTTTGCCTAGAAGCTCTCTAGAGCATCATGAAGTTGATCTTTTCCGTTTATTTTTTGCTGTGAAAAAGTTCTAAGGGGAATAGACCATTGAGGGTCTAAGGGCACTTGCCTAGAAGTTCTCGATAAGATCTATGGAGTTGCTCTTTCTAATTATATAATTTTTGTTGTGCACTTGTTGTGAGAGTGAAGAGAAGCCTTACTCAAGGATCTCTTGGTTGCTCTTCAGTTTCAACACCCCACGCCTCAAGGAGGCTTATTGAGGGAGGCAATTGAAGCCTCAAGAAACTTAATATCATGACAATAATATAAAGAACCAAAGTACAAACGACCTTGCCATGAGCGGGCGCATAATGTATTGGCGAAAATTGAGAGAGAGAAAGAGAGAGAGAGAGAGAGAGAGAGAGAGAGAGAGAGAGAGAGAGAGAGAGAGAGAGAGAGAGAGAGAGAGAGAGAGAGAGAGAGAAAGAAAGGGAGATATAAAACATATATATAAAACCACGGACTGGGGGGAGTGCTAGCAAAGGAAGTCTATGAGTTCTTGGAAACAAACTTTCATGGGAGCCATGAAGAAAGTAAAAAAAAAAAAAAAAAAAAAAAAAAACCATGGTTTCGTGCTTGAAAAGAGGGTTATCCCACTCGAGCGTCAACGCTTGCTCGGATGAAAAAAAAAAAAAACAAAAAAAACTAAAAAAAAAAAACTAACTGTTATGTATTGCTTTCTGGTATACTGCCATGTGCAGGCCTTTCGATGCATGCCTTGGGGCAACAAGATCACCCTTTCGAATACGCAGTGACGGATAGGACAATTTCCATCATGCGGGGGCGCTTGCGATCCGCATTGGCTTGGTGGCGAAGTTGGTGTACGAGCAGCCTTGTCTTATCAATTATTGAACGGGGCTACTGGATGCCATGGAAACAAGGACCGCCACAACCATTTCAGTGCTCCAATCATGCTGGAACCTATGCTCACATGGATTTTACGCGATCAGCCATCATAAATCTCGTTCAAACCGGCGCAGCAATCGAGGTGCCAGCATCGGAGCTCGCATGCATTAGTCCCCTCAACGTCGTCGAGCAGCGAGACAAGTGTCGCCTCATCCTAGATCTACGTAAAGTTAATAACGAGCTGTGCATTCCGAAGTTCAAGTACGAAGGACTCCCTCGCGTGGCGGAACTTGCACATCCGGGGGATTGGATGTTTTCAATTGATCTCAAGTCGGGTTACCACCACGTTGACATCCACGGGTCCTGCTGGAAATTCTTGGGTTTTCAGTTCGAGGGGCGTTCATACTGTTTCAGATCACTCCCGTTCGGACTAGCGACGGCGCCTTTCGTCTTTACTCAATTGATCAAGCAGTTGGCACGTCGATGGCGAGCAACAGGGGTCCGCGTTATTCCATACGTGGACGACATTCTCTTTCTGTGCCACACAGAAGCCGAGGCTCGAGATGTCTGCACCCGCACGATCACGGACCTAAGAGAAGCGGGCCTCGTGATCAATGCAAAAAAGTCTCATCTCCATCCTACTCAGCAGCTAAGATTCTTAGGATTGGAGCTCGATACCCAGCGGGGACAATTTTCTGTCGGCACGGAGCGACGAAGCGTCCTGCAATCTACCATCGCTTCATTATTGGCCGCAGGACGTGCACAGCACAAAGTCCCAGTACGGCAAGTCGCACGTATCACAGGCATGCTCGCCTCCATGAACCTTGCCCTTGGGGCGACAGCGCGAGCATTCAGTCACGCATTACTACAAACCATCGATGATGCGCCTTCATGGAACAGCAGGTTGTTACTACCCCCGAGTGCTTGCGAAGAGTTGGAGTTCTGGTCAATCGAGTTCGACCACTTCAATGGAGCCCCATTTCATGTTCGCGGTAGCTACGACGCAATCATTCATGTCGACGCCAGCGCGCACAGCTGGGGGGCCACACTCGACACGTTCTCCACAAATACTCATAAGGCCTGCGCGAACATGCCCCCGGAACTACTTGGCACGTCCAGTACTCGTCGTGAGCTCGAAGGGGTGCTCTGGGCACTGCAAACTTTCACAAGCTTCATCCAGAACAAGCATGTGCTCGTGCGCGTCGACAACCAGGGCGTATTCTTTATTCTAAAAAAGGGTGGATCGCGCAACAGCTGTCTCACCACCGCATGCAAAGCCATCATTCGCACCTGCATGACCCGTCGCATTCGCTTGATCATGGAATGGATCCCTCGCGAGCTTAACACGCTCGCGGATGAGCTCTCGAAGACTCTCGACCGAGACGACTACACCTTGAAGGCCCCATGGTTTAACCTTCTCGAGCGACGTTGGGGGCCGCACTCCATAGATCTCTTCACCAGTGCTACGAATGCCAAGCTCCCCCGATTCTGCTGCGAACACCCACATCCCAAGGCCCTAGCGATCAACGCCTTCGCAACATCCTGGGCTGACGAACATGGTTTCGCCTTTCCACCACCACAGCTGATCCCGGCAGTCCTTCACCACGCACAAAGGACATCAGCCTCACTGACGCTCATTGTTCCCTTCTGGCCCGGGGCTAGTTGGTGGCCACTCCTCCAACCTTCGCCACCCGCCTGGGCCTCGCCGATCCGTGATTGCCTGAAACTTACTCACGGGAGTCAATGCCTCGCACCAGGCACGCACACCACGGCATTCTCGGGCTCCGGCCTACCACATAGCATGATGATGGCCTTGCGCATTTCCTTCCGTTAACAATTTTGCTTGCATCCTCTCTAATCGCTTCAGGATTACTCCGCTCGCTGCAGAGCCAATTGCTCACAATGATGCTGAAAACGCGTGCGGAATCTACGATCAAGACTTACGATCCATACTGGCAGCAGTTCCGCTCATTCTGCATCAAGACTAAACTACAGTACCTGCCCGCACGAGATATGACACTCGCGCTGTACCTCGTCTACGCCATTCGCCACCAGGCCACATTCTCGGTGGTGCAACTCACTTGCTCGGCGGTTGGTTTTGCCCATCGCATGATTGGAGCCGCCTGCCCTACCATCGGCCCCATGACATCTCAAGTCCGAGAATTTGCCAAGCGCCACTGCCCGCGACCCCACCGGACCAAAGAACCGGTGTCTCTTCACCAAGTGCACTCCATGGCCGCACACTTCATTAGCTCGGACGACCCATCCACCTTTCAAAAAGGACTCATACCACTTCTCATGTACGCCGGCTTCCTTCGGTATTCGGATCTCGCCGCCATCTGCTGGAACGATATTCAGTTCGAAAACGATGCCATGTGGTTACTCATCCCGCGCTCGAAGACCGACCAAGAAGGGAAGGGCTCATGGGTGCCCATTGCCGCAAGCCAGGGACCTTTCTGCCCCGTCCGATGCACGAAGCACTTCATCCAGCTAGCACGATATGGTCCTGCCACTCCAGGGCCATTAATCCGGGTCACTTTCATGCAACCATCGCCATCGGACTCGGCGACCACGCGCTCGGCACACACTCTTTTCGCAAAGGAGCGGCAACTGTAGCGGCAAACGCAGGAATTGAGGATCGGCTCTTCAAACAACTAGGCCGATGGCGCAGTGAAATGGCGAAGGAAATGTATGTGACCCCCACTGCCGATCGTTTGATTGATGCCTCTCGCAACCTCCAATCAACGGCTCACGCGCCATCACCAGCACAACATTCCAGAGCCCTCAAGCGCCACCGTCAGGCACCCTTGCACATGTCTCAGCGTCACCCATTGTAATGAGAACGATGCCAATTGCGACAGAAGCAAGCTTTCTCAATATAAAAAATTTTAAGCGTTTTATCGCTTTCAAATTTGCGTATTGTGAAAGCGAAGCTGACTGTAACGCAATTTGTGCATCGTCGAAGCGCGGTATTCGCCTTCTCCGAATATATAATGTGGGCTGGGGTCATTCTTCCCCCACCCACGTCTCTCATTTTACAATCGCTCAAGTTCAATTCCCACCCACCCTCCCCAGGCTAGTCAGCTTATGAGAGTAGTAGTTCTTAGACATTTTGGATGTGATAGTATATTAGTATAACTGCTAGGAACTGTTGTACTTGAACCCATTGTAATGAGAACGATGCCAATTGCGACAGAAGCAAGCTTTCTCAATCTTGGAAAACAGTGTTATGCCCAGTATTGCTCGCTAAGTACCTGTATCATGGATGACCAGCTCCTCCTAGCGCTGAAGACACACTACACTACTGAGCTGCTTGCACACTTCTTGGCAGTGAGAATTCAGCATAGAGAGGGTAGTGGCTTGAGGGTAGTTTTCCTCCCCATGTGCTGATCACCACCTCGCAGTAGGTAGGATTCAGTGCCCGGCCATAGCGGAACATCCAGTCAGTATGAAGTGGATCCACAATGCCAGGATCGCTCTCAGCTGTACATATCTCCATTGCACTTTTGACAATTTGCAAGCAAGACATGTCAGGACCTGAAAGAAGCACCACAATTAGTTGAAACGAGCAGGATGATATGCAAGTGAGCTGGGCAGTGAAATTTGCTGGCAAGAACCTTGAAAGCGATGGTGGGAGTATATGTGGCCTGTGTTGATTTTCTTGCGAGCGATCGACAAGACGTCTTTGAAATCTCCTTCGATGCCATTCAGCCTGCCACATGCAACATTAGCGCATAAGCCATGTAATTGAGAGATTGAATTCTCACGCCTCAGGGAGCAAGCACTTACTTCCAGCTTCCCAGGAAGAACCTTGCAGTAGCAGATCCCTTGTTTTTGTTGAAATTCGCACACATGAGTGCAGGTATCGATGGTGGAACAGAGCTGATATGCTGCCACAGAAGCAAAGCTCCTTTCGCTCTTGCTGAGGAGCTTCCTGTCTTCATCCTGACATTGTAAGCTTGAAACGCATACCCTGGTGGCTGTAGCCCTTTCACTCGGAACTTCACCCAAGTAACAACTGCAGGAGTGGATGCACCCCAGGATACGCTCCCACACACTTCAGGCGTCTCGGAAAGCCAGAAATTCCCACTCTCCATCACCTCAACCTGAAACAGCAGCACACGCATGGCTTCTACACAGATATAAATAGGTAAAACGGGTTCTGACATCAGCAGTGAGCTCACATTAGACGCGAGCTGCTTGTGATAGCTTTGCTGACATGGGTACCTGGTCTCGGTTATAAAAGATGGCAGAACACTCTTCGCCAGGAGCGTCTCGGTTCTTAGATCCAAACCACTCGTATGCTGCTGTCGTAGAACATGTTTCGACCATTCCATAATCACTACAACAGCCAATGACCGACAATGCCATACCTTTCAGCTCACTCTGAAGATACTCGAGCTGCTCCTTGGATCCTGAACTCAATCCAGAGTTAGAAAGGAGGCTCTGTAACGCGGATTCGAAGCTGAAAAGAGGGATCGCTACTACCTTCTTGAGTGAAAATCAAGGTGGGATGGAACTTGCGCAACATCTCAAGGCATGCTAACTTGCGTAATTCCCAGGAATTCGGACTGCTTTCTGGTTCTGTCGAGTCTAAGTTCAACATGAAAGCAGAAACTGCCCCAAGGAATGCCATAACGCGCTTTGCAGTGAGGTCTGCCCCTTGGATTTCTTAAAACTGAACTCAGTATTCTCTGATCAAACGTCTAACGCACGGACCCACAGCATAAATTGTGTTAGCAGCACCCAGTGCTGTGGATGCACACGCAAAACTCGCTAGCTTTTTTGGAAGCACGTGCTCAGGTGACTAAACTGAGCGTGTGCTGACTAGGGACGGATACACATCCTGGTACTATCTGTTCACTATCAGCGAGTTGATCAAGAAGCACCGCTGACAACTGACCTTGCGAAAGGTACCCGTTCGGCCACACACGCAGACCTAGAGAGTGATGAGGTTCACCAGACAGACAGGCAGCGATTGTATCCTGGACAAACAGAGAACCGAAGCTACTGTCAATGCCCATTACAAGAACACCAGGTAGGCGGGCGGCATGTGAGTGAAACGAGTTTTGGCATTTCGCTCACTCGCGAGTACTTTCGCCCTCGTCACCCCAGGCAAAATTGTGACTCGAAAATGAAAGTGCAATGAAAGTGGAATGTTGGGTTTTAATTTCATAACCAGGTCACCACTCTGGTGACGTGGATCCTTTGTTGTTTGTGCACTGTAGATGTTGACCGCACATAGGTGACTGTACAACGGAAATGCTCAATTCAGTCACCTCACGGGCAAAAACGTTCGCGAGTGAGTAAATTTGTAATTGAGCGATTTTTTGTGATAGGGTGAGCATCGACTGTAGTTTTGGGCCAAAGCGAATCCGAATGAGAAAAATCGTGAAATCAGGAGTTCCGGTAAAAGTACACTTCGGTACATGACACAATGCAAAAGTATGCACCACGGACGGATGTTTAATTGAATTGACTTTTTAATGAATGCGCAACTGATTGTATCACACCCCAAACTGAATCTAATAGAAAAAAATCCCATCAGATCAGATTAATAGTCCAAATAGATGCGCACGACTAGAATGTCTGAACACGGAACAGTAATCCTCCTCTCCCGATTCTTCCGGCTCAAAGGCCGTCCCTTCCCTCCATACAGCTCCCTGTTTAACCTCACATCAGCAACCCTCCATATAGTCACACGCTCCTCCTCATCCACCTCCACTAACGAAAGAATCTCCTCAGACGTTTTGCCTCCACTAGCAGTAGCGCTCTTGTCCCCTGTATTGTCTGCTTCGCTAGGCAGCCGGTAGTGTACATACATAGGAAGCTCCTTAAACCGGATCAAATCGTCTGGGACCTTGACCACACGCTCAGCACCAGGAGAAGAGACCTGGCAGGGGGGTAAGAGGGGGTGGGGGAAAGAGGGGGAGAGATAACAGCAAGAGGAAGAGTAACACAGGGGAAAATGAAGGGGAATTAAGGATACGAGCAAGTTTTGAAGAGTCTCACAATCGTCTAGGACCTTGACAATGCGTTTGACGCAAAGGGAACGTGTGAGACATGCTACTGGGAGAGGGGCTGGGGAAAACCAAAGAATCCGAGTTTTTGAGAGATGTGTGTTGTTGTTGTTGCTGTTGCTGTTGCTGTTGCTGTTGCTGTTGCTGTTGCTGTTGCTGTTGCTGTTGCTGTTGCTGTTGCTGTTGCTGTTGCTGTTGCTGTTGCTGTTGCTGTTGCTGTTGCTGTTGCTGTTGCTGTTGCTGTTGCTGTTGCTGTTGCTGTTGCTGTTGCTGTTGCTGTTGCTGTTGCTGTTGCTGTTGCTGTTGCTGTTGCTGTTGCTGTTGCTGTTGCTGTTGCTGTTGCTGTTGCTGTTGCTGTTGCTGTTGCTGTTGCTGTTGCTGTTGCTGTTGCTGTTGCTGTTGCTGTTGCTGTTGCTGTTGCTGTTGCTGTTGCTGTTGCTGTTGCTGTTGCTGTTGCTGTTGCTGTTGCTGTTGCTGTTGCTGTTGCTGTTGCTGTTGCTGTTGCTGTTGCTGTTGCTGTTGCTGTTGCTGTTGCTGTTGCTGTTGCTGTTGCTGTTGCTGTTGCTGTTGCTGTTGCTGTTGCTGTTGCTGTTGCTGTTGCTGTTGCTGTTGCTGTTGCTGTTGCTGTTGCTGTTGCTGTTGCTGTTGCTGTTGCTGTTGCTGTTGCTGTTGCTGTTGCTGTTGCTGTTGCTGTTGCTGTTGCTGTTGCTGTTGCTGTTGCTGTTGCTGTTGCTGTTGCTGTTGCTGTTGCTGTTGCTGTTGCTGTTGCTGTTGCTGTTGCTGTTGCTGTTGCTGTTGCTGTTGCTGTTGCTGTTGCTGTTGCTGTTGCTGTTGCTGTTGCTGTTGCTGTTGCTGTTGCTGTTGTTGCTGTTGCTGTTGCTGTTGCTGTTGCTGTTGCTGTTGCTGTTGCTGTTGCTGTTGCTGCTGTTGCTGTTGCTGTTGCTGTTGCTGTTGCTGTTGCTGTTGCTGTTGCTGTTGCTGTTGCTGTTGCTGTTGCTGTTGCTGTTGCTGTTGCTGTTGCTGTTGCTGTTGCTGTTGCTGTTGCTGTTGCTGTTGCTGTTGCTGTTGCTGTTGCTGTTGCTGTTGCTGTTGCTGTTGCTGTTGCTGTTGCTGTTGCTGTTGCTGTTGCTGTTGCTGTTGCTGTTGCTGTTGCTGTTGCTGTTGCTGTTGCTGTTGCTGTTGCTGTTGCTGTTGCTGTTGCTGTTGCTGTTGCTGTTGCTGTTGCTGTTGCTGTTGCTGTTGCTGTTGCTGTTGCTGTTGCTGTTGCTGTTGCTGTTGCTGTTGCTGTTGCTGTTGCTGTTGCTGTTGCTGTTGCTGTTGCTGTTGCTGTTGCTGTTGCTGTTGCTGTTGCTGTTGCTGTTGCTGTTGCTGTTGCTGTTGCTGTTGCTGTTGCTGTTGCTGTTGCTGTTGCTGTTGCTGTTGCTGTTGCTGTTGCTGTTGCTGTTGCTGTTGCTGTTGCTGTTGCTGTTGCTGTTGCTGTTGCTGTTGCTGTTGCTGTTGCTGTTGCTGTTGCTGTTGCTGTTGCTGTTGCTGTTGCTGTTGCTGTTGCTGTTGCTGTTGCTGTTGCTGTTGCTGTTGCTGTTGCTGTTGCTGTTGCTGTTGCTGTTGCTGTTGCTGTTGCTGTTGCTGTTGCTGTTGCTGTTGCTGTTGCTGTTGCTGTTGCTGTTGCTGTTGCTGTTGCTGTTGCTGTTGCTGTTGCTGTTGCTGTTGCTGTTGCTGTTGCTGTTGCTGTTGCTGTTGCTGTTGCTGTTGCTGTTGCTGTTGCTGTTGCTGTTGCTGTTGCTGTTGCTGTTGCTGTTGCTGTTGCTGTTGCTGTTGCTGTTGCTGTTGCTGTTGCTGTTGCTGTTGCTGTTGCTGTTGCTGTTGCTGTTGCTGTTGCTGTTGCTGTTGCTGTTGCTGTTGCTGTTGCTGTTGCTGTTGCTGTTGCTGTTGCTGTTGCTGTTGCTGTTGCTGTTGCTGTTGCTGTTGCTGTTGCTGTTGCTGTTGCTGTTGCTGTTGCTGTTGCTGTTGCTGTTGCTGTTGCTGTTGCTGTTGCTGTTGCTGTTGCTGTTGCTGTTGCTGTTGCTGTTGCTGTTGCTGTTGCTGTTGCTGTTGCTGTTGCTGTTGCTGTTGCTGT